CCGGGACCACCATCGGGGTTCCCCACTCGCAGTACAGACCACAAATCCTGGTTAGCCCCGTAGCTACACCAGTCATTCGCCTCGTCCAACTCTTCACTACCGTCCACCACAGTTGCAACTGCACACAGCTTGCCAATCTGGGCTCTCTTGGGCAGAGTGATTTGTTCCGCCGTGCAATTCATCAATCGCACGGGAACACGATTCTCTTGTGGCCGCACAACACACTTTGCCACCAAGAGACCAGGGTCGCTCGCAGTCCCACAATCTGGTTCCGTGAGCCCCAACTCTAGCATCCCATCGAATGCAAGAGTGTCCACCACAGCCGCCACGGTCATCTCGTGGTGTGGTGGGAGAACAATCTTCTCCTGCAAGCGGAGCGGAGCCTCATCTGCACCACCCCCTCGCCTTTCTTCGACCTTGAAACATAGCTTGCCATTCGCAGAGGTTATGTTACAGGGAATGCTGGACAGCACATCACGTCCCAGCACACATGGAAATCGTAGCCCATCGACTACCCGCATTTTCGGCGAACAAACACATCCTTGAACGCCAAGGTGAACAACCACTTTTCCGTTCACCACCAAAGGCTTACCATCTGCCCCGCAAAACTTCAACCCAGGCGCATCCGCCGTGAGTCGATCCGGATCGTAGCCCAGCTTCCTGGCTAGATCCGCAGATACTAAGCTTACAGCCGCTCCAGTATCTACCAGCATCTCCACTGACAACCCATCGATTGTCCCCGTGGTCAACATCCCCGTTCCAGAGTCGCATCCGACCATAGGAATGGATTGTTCGACAGCACGCTCATCAGGTGCTGTCGGATTACACTCTCGACCCAAAGAAATGGTCTGACCAGGCACGTGGGCCATCGCCCCAGTCACTGGCCGTTTCCCAAAAGGCCCCCTCCTCGAGCCATCGTATCCTCCGCGCCCCGTCTGCGCTTCACGAGGACATTGGGCTGCCCTGTGGCCCGGTTCACCACAGTTCCAACAAGTGAACATCTTCACTCGTCGAGCGGGCTCCTGATCCCGAGTTCTTCCTCGGCCTCGCCCTCCTTGACCACTTGGAGCATCACGCCTCTCCAGTAGTTGGTCGAGCGTCCTCACCAGGCTGCTCAAAGTACGCTCGAGGACGTCCGTCTGTCCTCTCGCTGGAGCCTCAGCAACATCCACAGCGGCCGCCACCAACTGTGTTTGCGGGCTCTCTCCGTAGGGGCCCACCAGCCTCTGCGGAGCTTCGCTTGGCAAGTCAACACTTCGCCAAACCTTTTCCAGGTGCAGCGCCATCTCTAATGCCGCCTGCACCGTCGCCGGAGGATTCTCCTGCAGCCTCACTCTCAAGGCCACAGGAGATACCGCCTCGATGAACTGGTCCCTCACCAGCTCATCCTGTAACCCACCCGGCATGTTGGGGTACGCCCGCACCACCAGCCGACGCAGATCATCCGCCAGATGCGCTAAATCCTCACCGGATTTACGCCTCCTCGTGCGGAATTGAGCCTTAAACTGCCGCTCATTAGCAGGTGGTGCGAACCTTCGCTCAAGGTCCGCACTCACATGCTGCCATACGGCCCGTCTTGCAGCCGGTATAGTAGCCAAAAAGCGTTGCGCCCCACCTCTGAGGCGTACCGCTAAGTACTGCGCTTTCTGCGGGTCATTCCACCCGTTCACCTGCGCGCACTGATCGAAGTACTGGATATACTCCACCCAGTCTCCGGAACCATCGTAGGCCTCGGGCATCACCGCAGGCCTCCGGAAGGCTGGAGCAACTGGCGCTCCTCCAGCACCAGCTACCGCTCCCCCTGCTGCAGCCATCACTGCACCAGGGCCACCCACCGCAGCAGCACCACCAGCTACTAACGGTTGATGAACATTTGCAGCAGGCGCATCCACACCTCTGCCTTGTTGTTGCTGTTGCTGAGCCATCGTCAACACAGCAAAAGAACGAGCAAAGTAGACAAAACAATAGGGCTAGCAGGACGACTGATCCGCGAAGAACTCAGTCTTCTTCGCCTCAGCTCGCCTGATAATACTCAGCCACGCCGCTGCCGTCCGATCACGGCCCACGCGCGCCTACGAGTGCATACCCCAATTGCACGTGGGCACAGCGTACTCAACCACTGTAACCCTAACCGCCGTGTGAACATGCCAAGCGACCACCGTCGCATCAGGTTTCCCGATCCCACGCCTGACTTGCGACATCTCGCGGAGCCTCGTGCGCCATCCGGATTCCCCTTCATCACACATTTAGCCTAGCCGACCAGTGCAAGCCGCATCATGCATGCCTCTCAACATCATGCCATGATCCCTCGCGCACAAGGCCGCCAATATTTCACCCTAATCACTCCGGCTGGCATCCCAGCCTGAGGACTAGACCAAACAGACTAGAGAGATACGACACATCCATACCCCTCCTTACGAACTGTATGCCCATCATGCAGCATGCAATTCTCATCACAAAAGGCAGCTCAGTCATCACTGCGCCATGCCAATCGAGCACAAGAGAACAAACCTCTTTATTCCCTGGTGGAGGCCAGTTTCCGCACCCACAACAACACAACCAGTAGTGAGGCAGGATACATTGAACATCTTCAATATACTTAGACTGCGCTTGCACCGTCTACAAGCGCCTGGCCGAGATCTTCGCGCCTCTTCTAGGAATGGTGAACTTTGTTGCCTCGTTCTTGCCAGCCATCCTGGTCACAGCACCACTTGTGGCAACTCGCTCGGACAGCGTGTTCCGGTTAGTCTCGCCCATGGCTGTGTCGTCTCTAACCCTCGGAACGTTTTGTGACAAGTATAGTCACGGCTGGCATAACGCAACTTCACCCAATCCTAACCCAACACACACATAACCAACTGATCTCGTCAGAGCAGAGAATATGTTCCTGTTTGGAAGAAGAGCACCGAAAGAACCTCTCGCTAAAAGCAGCAGCATGCTATGATATAACACATTGTAGAAAACAGCAAGCAGCGGCAGTAGCGATAGTACTTGCTAAACATGCAGCTAAACTGCTACTTTGTCCGCTGCGCGGAACGGCGATCGGACACGCACACGCACACACATACACGCACAGGTCTGCGTGATCTAGAAGCGGCTGTCATCATAAGATACGCAAAGTGTGAAAGGGTATTAGAACGGGGCAAGCCTAGACCCGGCGTCTGGACCGCAACATGTACTTGATTAAAAGCATAGCCAGTCAATGGTCAAGCAGCTGCAATCACGCACATCCACACCTAGCGTACTACTACTATAAAGCGAATTCATAACTACACTACAGGTATTGCACTTTCTACTGCAAATGCACAGTCGTGCGCTTCATCTATTGACAGCAGCCAAACCTATCATTTTTACAGTCTCACTGGGTAGGTGACCTCGCCGGCACACACCGTATAGTATATTGTACAATAACTGTTCCAACTACGGTCCGGAAGACACAGTGTGTCCACGTTCTACGCACAGTAGCTATCAGCAGTAAGTTAAAAGTTACAAGCCCTCACTCTCGGGCTATGACACTAGGGAGGTTTAGTCCCACGTAATCCGTGGGTACTTTACGTGTGTGTACCACGTGATACTCAGTGACCAACCACGTACAGACGTTTTTTTTTTTTTTTTTCCAGAACTCAACTCTTTATTGCACTCAGAAAAATAATAAGGCCGTGACCCATTTTGATATACGTTTTCTGATTCACGACATACCGTGTATGGAGGCTCACCCACGTTCCGCCAGAACGTGGGTGAAAATCAGAATGGAGCGCATTTTGCGAGCTGTGAGGGTGCTCAGCTGAAGAAATTTCCGAAGCACGAAATAAAAATATTCGATGAGCTTCTTAGGCCCGGGTAGCTTCGTCTTTGACCAGGTTTGGGCCTTTCGCTTCATGCTTTTGTTTGTTCCGTGTGACTAAACACAACATTGCAACGTGGATGCCCTTCATCCACTTTACGTGGATCACCCACGTACGCGTTTCCGTTACGTGGGAACTAAACCTCCCTAATAATGGGGAACTCATCAGAGGAGAAGCAGTTGTTGAATGAAGGGGTTTAGCTGAATAATGCTATTTTATAGAAAAGATATTGGCGCACTGAGGTGTAAACACTCAACTTACTCACATATGTGATATATCAACACAAAAGGAATAGTGCAGAATGGAGGTGTTCTGAACCCTACCAGACACAACTATCACAAGTGCTAAATCATTCACAATGAGAAGGAGAGGTACACGTAGTTTACAAGTCACAAATGGTACTGAGGTAGTGACAAAGATAGGTGAAAAGTAGACGCCAAGTGTGGTTGTAGCCTGGCCGTACCCCTCTCGCGCATCGATGGATGCATCCGTTTCAAGGCCTTAGCAACCGCGTTGCTACAGCTCATCCCGTACTCTCTTCTAGAATTTTTAATTCTGCATTGTGCATTGTGGTGAACTCTTGACCTAGTACCTAGTGTACGATTATCATGATTATTGGGAGTTTTGAGTAGATATGAGTCGTACCAAGAGTACAGTTATGTACTCTTGGTCGTACCCGTCCGTCGAATCCGGCTCTGGTGGGTTGGCTGGATCCGAATCCGTGCTCTCGGGATACGGATTCGTACAATCGAACATGTACGAGTCGTACAAATTCGAAGCATGAGATTGTCTGAATAGAAGTATTTTGTCAGGTTTACTCACAGCGAAGTCGATGATATGAGCAGGTGTTGCTTTCCGCGGATCACGATAATTTTCACCATGATTTAGACCACATCTTGCATGATTTTAGACTCGCAAGTGACAGTTCTTGCTTAGTTGCCAAGATCATACAGTCAGTCTGCGCGGAAGATCGATGCCAGAGTGTCAGCAATCTTGATATTGTCCAAAGAGAGGGATTTTCAGTAACCTATCAACACACAGTGCACCAATATGCAGTACGTTAGACAGCAATAGCAATGCCAATGGATCCCAGACTCCCAACACTGTCCCAAACAGCATGATAAGAGAGAGACATCCAAATCTAACAATAGGTAGTATTGTGGTATACATGTATTTTCAATTTTCAAGTTGATCTAAAGTGACCCAATTAATAAAAACTTGTGACCGAAATACATGTAAATCAGTGACATAATTGTGGAACCGGGCTAAGTATTAGGTAGATATAAGTCAGGTTATGATTGCAAATGGTGCATAGCACAGCTATGAGGAAGGATCATCATTGAAACGCGGGTGAATATGTGCTAAAATGTTGACAATAAAACGAGGGTTTTCTTCATTCAGAAGACACAAGGGAGCTAAAAAGTCATCTCTAGTAAAAATAATAAGAAGTCAATGGAAGTCGTTGGGATTCAACACCACCGCCAGAAACGGGCAAGGTGGGCTTGAGGACGGAGCAATTCAGCATACATTGCAGAGATCGATTACAGAAAACATGATTGCACTAGTAGCAATCAAGACTGAGCATAGAACCAGCAGGGACAGTAAGAGAAAGTCAAGGCCATGCAACTGAAGTATGAACATGACAAAGAATTAGAACAATGGAAAGGATGGAGACCGCAAACGCGTTTGTCCAACAAAAGAGATCATCCGACGTCCAGGATCTCAATAAAACATGGTTCAGGAACACAAGCAGGGGATCGCAAGTATACGATGGAGTGCTATGATGTGCAGCTGTAGAATAAAAGCAGTTCAAAGAACACTGTGATAGTTTTGTAGCATCACTGACCATCATCCTCATCAAACAAGTCTGGCTGTAGCGCACGCAGGGTTTCCAATTGGCCACGCAGAGCATCCAAGCTGCGCTTCAGCTCCAAATTCTCCTGCCGAAGGTCTGACACCTCCTCTTCCGTTTCCTTTGACTTCTGCTTGGCCTTGATTCGGCTTTTACGAACGGCAGCATTATTCCTCTCGCGCTTCATCCGGTACTCCTGTGACATTTTGTACTCGTCGCTGGCGCATGGTGAATGAGAGCCAGGCGATGCAGCACCCCCCGCCTTCTGCACACGATGAGGACCATGTCTGTCTTGACCAGTACCATTCACACAGCTACCTCCAAACACAGTGCTCGACCCTGGTGCCTGTGAGCCTTCTGGTGATGAAGCAGAAGCCAGTAATCCTGGGGTCGCTGCTGCTGCTGCTGGAGATCCAATTGACGATGCTGGGCCAGTCCGTCCAGGACTCAGGTCAGTGAAGTCAGCTACTGACACAGATGTTAGCATTCCCGAGGCTGACGTGGTGGGAGTGGTCCGGGAAGGACTTCTGTAGCTAGTAAAATCCTGCGTCAGGCCGAGAAGTGATTGATCAAGAGGTTGATCACTGAACGGGTCACACAAGTTGTTGACTCGATCTTGGGAATGCGCTCTGGATCCCAGAGTGGGAACACTCCAGCTCGTGGATGGGTTGCTCATGGCCGCCACGTGGCACGTAGTAGGCGTTTGCTCGGACTGAGTGTATCGGAAGAAATTATTGCTACCGGGACCATCTACCTGAGTAAGATCAGCCAAAGACTGCATAAAGCTTGAGTTTGCGTCGTTTCCGAACAGACCCTCCGAAAACAAGTCGTCCATCTTCGCCTACTCTCATAACAAACTTGTAGAAGGAAATACTGTCAGATCTCACGATCCCACAACTTTCTTCACTACCGTATCTACAACTCGACTGAACTGACCACTTGTTGTAAGCTTTGCAACTTTTATACGACGCTCCTTCATCACAAAATGCAGCACTGCCAGCCAGCTCGATCGAAGTAAGTTGGGGCAATGCCGAACGGAAAATGACATCTTTGTGATTTCATCCATACATTTTAGGCAGCATGACGTAATCATTCTCACCCACGCGTACCCGTACATGGGGTATGGCACGTGCACGCGGCTTTTTCGGCACCCCTCGCGTATACCGTACACTCGCGACCAAGCTAGGTCTCGCGCGCGTAGTCGCCGACGTCGTGAATGGAACTGATTTTATGTCGCGTGCACAAATCTGGAGATTGAGAGGTCATTCATAGAATCATACTTCTTTCTCCTGTTGACAGCGCAAGTATTGGCAGCTCTCTTGTCACCAAAAACGGCCCAACACCATGAACACTGCCGCGCCTATGTCCTAGCTAGCTCAAACATGGTTCTGTGAAAAATATGGATCGAGTGCCCAAAGTATCATACATGAAGACTACAAGCAATATTATGGCAGACAATGTCAGTATAATCAGGGGAAGTCGTGCCCCAAAAACCTACACTGAAGCTTTAGCTCTTTGCCGTTTCCAAAAGTAGGCGGTATGTAGACTCTGACCCATCTCTCTGGCCTGGGGTCATCTCATCAGTATGATCGTCACAACGAATACGACCCACTGTTCCTTGGTTGCCTTGGTGGTTGGTTGGTGTCTGTCACTCCCAGTCCGTCCTGCACTGGTCACAGGTGGTAATGGCGGGTTTGCCTAAAAAGCTCACTCCGAACATGATATCCTTGCTGCTTCAGCATAGTCCCCGCTCAGCCTGTTGATCATGGTTGATAGCTTAGCAGGGAAACTGCTGGATGTGGCAAATGACTTACTTGTCTTTGAAGCGAGAAAAACATCGTAACGACCGCACTTTGCTCGATAGCGTGGGCATTTCTTGGGTGTTCTGGGGCTGGTCGAATGTGGACTCAACCAGTTCCACGCAGCGTGAATGCCTACCGGTACCGGTCGCGTGACACAGCTCCGTGCCCACTACTAAGTTGTACTACATGTAGTACTACTACTACTGAGTACTACTAGTACTAGTAGATCTACTGCACTGGTGGTTGGTTGGTTGGTACTACCACTGTACTACTACTACTGTACTAGTGAGTAGTACAGTGTGCACCCTGCACGCACTACCCCACGTACGTAGATAGCTGCTATAAGTGCTGGCTCACGTGCATAACCACGATAACCTCGGCCTAGCGCCTTTGCTTGCAAACAGCGTCGAGCGTCATGCGGTGGATTTGCATTGACGTCAGTTGTCTTCTTCGACTGCGCTATTGCATCACACCAAGCAAGACGCCAAGATCAGCTGCACTGCTATTCATCCGCTGTCACTACACTCACTGACCGACCAGTGGTGCAGTGCATGCATGCAGTGAGCAGGTGAGCGTGTCTGTCAGTAATAATTATGGGCATATAATTAATTATTATGGGATATTTTACTGAATGCGCTACGCAGTCCCTGTCACCACTACTGCCATACAGGGGCGTAGCCAGGATTGTGGCTGAGGGGGGTGCTCACTGGAAGTGTGGGCCTGCGGGAAAAAAGGGGGGGGGTCCGGGGGCCCTCCCCCGGAAAAATTTTCGATATTGAGTGCCAAATCCTTCATTTTTGCATCTATTTCATTATTTTCCATTCCACCAATGATTCAATAAAAAGTCAGATAATCGTATGAAACGCACAGTACTTTGCTACAGAAGTTGGATGGTAAGAGATTGACAGAGTGTGGTTAGACCCAGAATATAATACAGACAATTGTTGAAGTTCGTTCAATCCACGCAGACTCCGCCGGAAAGCGAAGGGCTAAACACCAGCCATGGCTTGTATACATCGAGCCAGCGGGGCTGAAAAGACCGGCCACCATTCTTCGGGAAAACAAACGAACTATCCGGTTGGACATGGTCCTTTAGCAGGGCAAACATCACGTCGTCGTCGAGCGGTGCACCCTTCGCAATGTCCTCCATAAAGGTACCGATGTCATTTCGGACGACTGCTACTGGTACAGCCAAGGGCGACAACTGCGGCTCTTCCGAGTCTTCGACTTCGACAATTTCGCAATTAGATTCGTCAGATTCGGAAATGGCACTGGCACTGCTGCTACTGGTATCTGGTCTCTTCGACTTCCCTCGACTGAAATACTTCAAGATCGACATTTTCATAAGAATCCATTCGACTTGCGGATCACAAAACGACGTTGCCACTTCTCTTTCACTTCTACCCTGTCGACGTCGAGTCTCGATCGCGGGCGGGCGTAGATCCACAGCAGTACGAAAATGGCACCTGAAATTTTTGAGGGGGGTGCTTGGGCACCCAAAGCACCCCCCCTGGCTACGCCACTGCCATACGCACCAGTACTTCTACACAAGTACACCGCAACATGACCTTGATGACAAACAGTCAGAACCAAGAATGTGAGAATGGCATTTGTGCTCAAAGCTGTCAATACTGCGCATCACAAGACAATTGAATGTATTATTCACATAATCATAATGTGAGTGGTCTTGAAACGACTAAACTCAGTTTCGGATTCCCTTGAACTCAAACACGTAGCCATGACAGCCTCCATTCCTGAGGTCTGCTATTGACATTATGAAAAGTGCAAGTACACTATTACCATGCCCTCTGGCCTTACATACGTGTGCATGACTGTACGTTGAAACAAGCAACAAGAAGCAAGAAGAAACAAGCAACAAGAAGCAAGAAGAAACAAGCAAGAAGAAACAAGCAAGAAGAAGCAAGAAGAAACAAGAAGCAAGAAGAAACAAGCAACAAGAAGCAAGAAAGCAAGAAGAAACAAGAAGCAAGAAGAAACAAGCAACAAGAAGCAAGAAGAAGAAGATGGCATGCAGACTCAGTCATGTAGGTACATGTAGTCCGATATAGTTGGGCAGTTGTGGTAAACACCATACATACATACACCCTTGCGCGCCAGTTAGTAGTCCCTAGTTAGCCACCTGCAAGACTAACAGTGCAAAGGACCAAGCTAAATTGTTTACTGCAATGTAAATGGTTGGGGAGGGCTGCAGGCGCTAGGCTACTCTTGGTACTATAGTACTAGTACTACATTGTAATGCTGTCCACAGCCTGGCTGATGGACTATCTACATTACCATTACAAACTGTAGAACATTCATTGGGGATTTCGGGAACGCCTGAAATCCTCTGCCATTCAATACAGACTGAGCAGCCCTTTTTTAATAGCCTTGCAGAAACAGACAGGAGGGGCAACTGGGTACGTATGACGGAAAATAGGGTGCAGCCTGGAACACCAAAGTCGATAGACAAAACCATCAAATAGATTTTTGGTTGGGGGGGGGGGGGGAGCAAATCAACACACGCAGCACAGAAGCCATTATATGTCCGACTAGGCCTTTCGAAGGCACTGACCATATCTGCTGGCAATATAGGTCTGTAAGACAGCTCAGGAGTACAGACTGTCAGTAGTCCAAACTTTGCTCTTCTAATAGTAATACATGTACACTACAGAGCATGCACATCTAGATGGGTGCCCACATACATGTATACAAGCAATGCTAGAGGGAGCATCAAAGAGACACGGAGCAAATGACATCTTCTAGAAGTAGGGCCTAGGGGGCAAGGAACACATGCCAGGATGATTGATGAAAGGGCTCAGGAATTTCTCCTACCAACAAATATCACGTAGGCGCTGCCCTTATCAACATCATATCAAACCAATACTTGACGAGGAGCATGAATAGGTCACTGCACTGGGACATAGTCATTCAGTCCTTTCTCCACTCCCAGACTACACTGTAAAAATGAGCACACTGCACATACCACGATCATGCGGGTACTGGAGGACTACAATCATGTAGTTTCTAGCAGGTCGGGTCAGGTGTGAAGGTGCCACTGCACTGATCATTTCCAGTAGCATGCAGTCGACTAGTCCTGAATGGGCCTACAGCAGAGTTTTTAGACCAACAAAATTATGATGACAATGTCCATTCAGCTCAAGTGCTTCAAGTGCTGGTGTCAAGCTTTGGGCAACATGTAAAGCTGATCATCCCAACACACCCAACTAGGCCTGGACCACTTTGTCAAGGGGCCATTCATGATTTCGGACAACTGCCTACTACTAGTAAGTAGTACTAGTGATTGTAAGCAGTACTAGTAGAGATAGACACACAGTGTGACACTACTACATGTACGCAGTAGATCAATGATCTACTACTGAGTAGTATCCAACTGTCCATTCATGATGGGGAGACAGGAACACCTGGCAGAACACCACAACTGGCATCTGGAGTTCTGGACTCCTGAGACGACACCACGTGTACATGGCCAAACAGACTACATCATCAGGAATAGGCTCCATCCTGACTGAGGCAGACAATGAAAAAGCTCTACTACCCTGGACTGGAGACTGAGACTGAACTGTGTGAAGAGCAAGCTGGGGTATGGGGTGAGGGTGATAGTGGTACCTACCAGTACTTAGTACTAACCTTATCACTGCATGCCAAATACAAGAAGAGTACAAACACTGACAACGTCAAGCTCAAGTTTCATTCAAGTCAGTTGCATAATTGTTAAGAATTTGTGAATAAACCAATGATCTCATCAAAGGCAGTTGAAACCCTGAAACAGGGCCATTGATGTTCCAGCACAACAAAACAGAAACAATCACACTCCCAAATCCCCAGCTCACAAGAAAAAATACTTCGAAGCAATATCCTCGCAAAACATGCTGTTCATGGGCCTTTGCCTTCTTGGGCCTTCCTATCACCAAAAATAATATTCACTTCAAATTAAACTCTGGGAGCACAGCGTGCCTTGATTCACTGCAGACTAGAAAGCAAATCTGTACCAAAAGACGCTTTCAGCAAAAGACTACTTCAAAAGTAGCTCCCGTACCGAGTACAGATACACAGGTAGGGTGCACACAAGTGCGACCAGAAGTTAGAACATTGCACGAAGCAAGGAAATGAGATAGGAAGGAAGCTGAGCCAAGAAATGAGTCACACACTGTGACTCCCGGCCCCCCAGATAACTTGAAGCCAGTGCCGGGCTGGCAAAGCAGGAGATGGGCCATACTGGAATCCAGCTACAGCCGATGCAAGAGCAAGCTCAATGGACTTACACACACCGTGTCCAAGACTAGATCTCGCATGATCCTGAAGCAAAAGGTTCCTGCAGTCTTGATTCCAGCTGAGCGGATATGGAGAGTGTTGCATAGCATATCGCCATCCAGCCAGCCGTACGCAGCAGTGAATGATGGACATGCGGATATTCCCCAGCAACAGGTGGTGTTCCTCTCTCTTGCAAACCGTGACTGCAAGCAATGGGGTTACTATCACCATTGATCAAATTCCACATCTGCGCCATTGCCGTTGGACCAGAATCCAGCTGGCAGCACTAGGATGAGTCATTCTAATGAAAAACGGTCATAATTTCCCATATGGAAACACCAATGAAATGCAGGAGAGTTCATGCCTGCTGTGTTCCAGCAACTGGTAGATTGGGCACTGCTTAGCTGGGAGTCACAGAATGATATCTCTCGTGACATCTCCTGGGAGCAGGACGAAGGCTGAGTGGAGCTGGCAGTGCAGCAGCACTAATACACATTGATCTGACACCATTAGACAGCAATGAATTCTTAGCTGAGTCCTGCGTTGTTGGAAGCACCGTTGCCGTGCGAGGCCGCTACCACCTGCTGCTTGGTATATTCCCAGACCAGAATGGCACCACTCACATGCACATTCAGCGAGCGAATGACTCCAAGCTGGGGAATCTCCACACATTCATCCATCAACTGGATCAGCTCCACCGGTATGCCTTCTCTTTCGTTTCTAATTTAGGCACAAGGACAGAAACAACAGTAACAGTTCACTATCAGCTATTCACAGAGGTTTGAAGTTAGTTGGTGACCAGAAGAATCACAAACCGGCACACGGCCCGGTCCCAAAACCCCCGAATGTACCAGAGGAGAGAAGCTGGACTACTCCAAAAGGAAACAAATTTTTTGGTTTAATACAAACATTTTTTACATTCAGCCATACTGGTCTTCATCACACAGAATGACTCATTGATGCAAATAAGGCAGTTATAATACGAAGGAACACCCGGAGTGTGCAAATTAGCGCTGTCACAAAATTGGCTGTGAGGGTGATATTGACGAACTGAAGCGCAGCAGCAGCACCAGCATCCGTAGCAGCAGCAGCAGCAGCAGCAGCAGCAGCAGCAGCAGCAGCAGCAGCAGCAGCAGCAGCAGCAGCAGCAGCAGCAGCAGTAGCAACAGCATCAGTAGCAAGCGGCAGAGCTAAGTTAGTGTGGTTTATAGGACCGGGACAGGTACCATACTCACTCGATTATGCACCCGGCTTCTATTTTCCAATGCCAATTTTGAGGAGGCTTCTATTTGAGAGGGGCTTTCATCGCTTCAATGCATACCGGAACTCCAATCAAATACCTACAAGTAAAACTGTAATACCCAAATCAACTCGGCCTCAAGTTAGTTCACACGCACTGCATCGACCTAGACATGTACTGGTATGTACATGATTGTACATGCACGTGATGTCTTGTATGCACTTGACCTTACCGAACATGGCACTAGGTGCCTGGTCACCCTATGCTTTGCGAACAGTAGTCCTCACGTCTATTTGAGAGGGGCTTGCATTATTGCAAATGGTCTTCGCATGAGGGCTATTATTCAAGAGGGGCTTCTAATTGAGTGAGTATGTTATGGAGAACTTTAATACTTTACAACATGAAAAAAAGGTAACTCTATATTTCCCCGGAGACTAAAAGGTTGCATTTTTGTCCAAACTGTCCGTTGATACAAAGGGCAAAGTGTTCTGAACCTTAGGTTCAGAATTACAAGTCACTGCAGTTCTTTTCTTCTCAAATCCGCCAGACGAGAATCTGAATGAGGATTTCCCACATTCCCGAGCGTTCAACCGCATGATAGACTCTGAATATCCAACAGCTCCAGTACTAAATAGCATTCTTTGGCAAGACACTGTACAGTCACCTACTTGTGCCTATATATTTGGCATAGTGCATCCACATGTAACTTGACCCCGCTTCCTTTTTCACACCTTCCGTACGCACATGTACCTCGTATGCACCAGCGGTAACTGTTGCGTGCCTGTGCTGCTTACATGCCTACTCTGTTCCCTGTGTTCTCCACTTCGTCTGTCTTCATCGAGTGTAGTTGTAGTTTGGAACTGAGTGCAATGATTGATGTGTTGGACTGATGAGAATGTGTTTGTGGGCCTTCATCCCTAGTGCTGTTGCAATAACGAACGCAACACTTGGTGTCAGCACTGATACCGGACCCGCTCGCCATGGCGAAATTTCAGCCCCCCCCCCAGAAAGCTTCATCCCTAGTGCTGTTGCAATAACGAACGCAACAGACACTGTGAGGAAGCTGTGACCGAATTGGCCAGTGTAAGTGATTCAGCTCACTCCGCCATTACACAAGAGAGAAGTATAGAGAGGTGGACTTGGCATAAGGCTGATACAAAACAACCTTTTGAGACTTACCCCAGCAACAAAAGGGTTTTCTGCTTGAATTGATAGTGTTCCAGTGAGCGACTGTGAGCAGTCTGCTCAACACCTACAATACTGTAGCCACACTCGTCACGCATGTAGCGCACATAGTCCCTCACCTCCGTCGGTTTCACCTGCAAGCACACATCAAGAACAGACACAGGCATGCAGTTGGAGGCATGTACACCCACACTGCGTCACAAAGCATCGCCTGTATCAGTCTACGTCATCCAGCCAGGTGTTGATATCAATAACAAAGTGAAGTACACATCATGCAGTGATCATGGCGCACATACACGGACACATTATAAATTGTACGGTGGATGCCATGTCAGACATATGAGCTACATTCTCCAGCACACATTGTATTTCCAGCAAAGAATGCCACAACTACTTCCAGTAAGGCAGACGAATGCATGGAAATGTGGGAACTGGCAACAATTGTTGGCTGTGCATTGAAAGCAATGCCTGTGGACTGCTTTCAACACAGATAACCTCCTCGTCATCATCATCATCATCACAAGCCCATAGCCCTAAGGCCGTTGGGGCGTCACAGAGCAAGTATGAACAAGCGAGCGCCATAAAAATCGATCGCGTGCAGCAGCTAGCAAGGACTGCACGTCAAGTGCAGTCCATGAAATAATATTATCAATCCATGACATTCTGACTCGTGCTGTCACACAAAACAACTGTTGACCTTGGTGAATGTATACCTCCTGAATTGGAATCCACTTCTCTGATGTTACACTGAGGGCTGAGAAACGCTTGTCCTCCAGAATGTGTTTGTTGGGTATGACCAGCTTTGAAACACCAAATATTTCACACGTTCGACACAGGCCTAGAAGCACAAGTGGAAACAATGTCAGACATAAGATATTTGTTCCCGTAGCTATGCAAAAGACGTTACTTCAGTAACGTCTGGCGTTAGCCAGGGTCCACACAGCTTTAATTCCGTGTTTGTTTGTACCGTCGGCATGCCTGGCGCTATCCCGTACCTGTCCCGTACCGTACCATCAAAGACAGCTGGCCACAATATTTAAACATGGCTTTCAAATGCAAGATCATAACGTGAAGCAACTTGGAAGAATGAGTATGAATGCGAAGTGTGTCGGGGGGAATGCGCAGGGCGATAGTGTTGGTTCGAATCCCAGGTTATGGCTTGAAAAAATATGAGAAATGAAACATTTATAACATCCCTAATTCCCTATGCTTTTTTGCCTAGCTAGATCATCAAAGTGGTAGACGGTGTCGTGTAACCCTAGAATGCAAAGAGAAAGTTTATTTCTTTCGCTCAGGGCCCTACGCTATGCTTTTTTTGCCTAGCTCATCATGCATGTTATTCGAACAGATGGAAACTTTTTGCAATACAATGATGTAGCCGATCAGTTCATTGTGGTATGGTTGGGCATTGTAGCCAACATTCATGGTCGACATAAAACACTATAAGACCGCAATAATTTTATATAACCCTTCTTTTGCCTAACTCATATTCAAACTGATTGAAACGTTTTTGCAATACAATGATGTAGCCAATCAATGAAAAAAAAACATTTCCATCAGTTCTAATAACATGCACGATGAGCTAGGCAAAAAAGCATAGCGTAGGGCTCTGAGCTTCCAAGCTCTCCCGCTTAAAATGTAATGTGCTAGTAACACAAATCATGACGTAGGATCTGCCACTCGTAGACGGTGCAAGCCAAAAGAAAACGGTCCGAGCACACAGCTAATCAGAACAAAAGTATACCAATACATCTCTTCTCCACACCAGTCAGCCCTGTTGACGCCACCCCACAACACTGCTTACCACCAACATTTGGCACTTTCTCCAGCAACGAGGTTACCAGGATTAGATTGCCACGGTTGTCACGGCCTTCTTTGCGCAGCTGCTGGTAGAATCTCAACTCATCACTGGAAGAGGGCAGGAAGTTCTCCAGGCGAGTGATTTTTTGCTGAACATCAGAGCTGTCCGTGGCTGGAGTGACCTGATCATGAGCAACCACTGCATTGGCTACAGATGGCGACTCGTGTTGCTCTGCACTTGATGTGTCAGCGTCTGCCCGGCTCTTTTGTTCCAAAAGACCACTGTAATCAAGGGAATTCCTGAGCACCCAAGAGCCATCGCAAGTTGTCCTGGTATTGACCAGCTCAGCTGGCCATGCTGATATGAAGGTCTTTGGTGGAATCCACTCCTCCTCAACAAGATGTGTGAGTACGGGGACTGTGTAAAACACCGTCTGCAGTAGTATCCAAAGGCAAGAAAGAAACACAGCAAGTTCATCACCCCAATAAGTGGAGCTAGGACCAAATCAGGTACAATAGGTTGTCTGATAATGTCTTCAAATCAGGTACAATAGGATGTCTGATAACGTCTTTAGGACCCGGACTATACACAAACAGCTGGGTTTTTTAAAAACTTTTTCCCCACGACACTTTTTATTCCTGTAGGAACTGGCTGGTTGGATGCTGTTCGCCATTACCAGCAAAAGCATTGATAAAACGATACTTTAGATCAGGCAGATAAATTCATTGCACAACTCCGTTATCCATCCTAGCCAAGGTCTTCATCCATTTCTCGTCTGGAGGAGATAAAATAGAAGAAGTCATATCTCCACTTCCCTTATCAGAAATGGATGAAGATCGGGCTAGGATGGAGAATGGACCGGTGCATTGAATTTGTGTCGAATTTTAGCAGTTCTGTCGCCACAAAGAGTCTTTGGTGGCGTGATTTCAATATTCCATTTATAGCATGCTAATCTTTGCGCAAATTGTACGTTGCTCAACATGTTGAAGAACGTAAGTGATCAGAGTACCTGACACACACTTTTCCCCATGTCCCCAATGATGCTGATAGAGTGTATATCAGCAAAGACATGGTAACAGCAGCGTACATAGTTCCAGTCAATCATTCCACATTCATATACCTCAATGCTATAGTCACGTGACGGGCGAAGCGTTGAGAAGAAGAAGTCATCACATACGCGCTGCTTGGCACGCAAGCTCTCCCTGGACCAAGACCAAGAATAGCATAGGAAGAGAACACACAAAATATTAGAGAGGTTTCGCTTCACGTTGTTCTGCACTACACCGTGAAACTCGCGTTCACGTCGAACGTGAGTTGACCTCAGCTCACGTCATGAACGGGAGTTTCGACGCCAAAATTTGCCACACCGACGTGAAATTTCACGGTATAGTACAGAACAACGTGAAGCGAAACCTCTCTATTAGCAGGAATCACTAAAATAAGTGTCTTGTATTTCAGGTCTTCTCATGTAACCACATTCGGAATGCTTACCCCCTTAACTGAAAACTGGCAAGTAATTTAGTTAGTAAATATTCATAGCCCTCTTTAGTCCATTATTACACAGTGGAGTTGTGGTACAAATTGCACAAAATTACTTGTAATATATCTCCATATGTAAAGCTCGAGTCTGCTGCAATTTCCAATTTTTTGCATAACACCCTTACCAGTTGCATTTGGAAAAGTGAACGCACGATTCTACAATGGAGAAGCGCTGAAGCACGTCAGTCAGACCGACATCCTTGCACGTCGTCCACAGTGCTTCCACCGTGGCTAGGGCGTACGCACGCACAGTATTGTGTTGCGACTGGCACCAGGGCATTATCAATTGCAGGGCTTCCGAGATGAATCTCTGAATACACACAAACACACATGTGGAGCACATTACACACAATACAAACATCACTCCAATGTCCTTCATCCGTGCACACCGGGAGCAGGCCCTTATGTTAAGGTGGGTTCACCCCTATCCCAGGCAACCCATGTTGCATCTATACACACTTGAAAGAAGGAATCAAACGCGTTTCTGCTGTAACTCTGAGTTTCACGGTATTTACCGATCATCAGCCACTTTGTACTAGGCTCTGCACCTAGATGTATTGAGCACTGTCATGAGCAACCGGAACTCTCTCCGAGTGTCACATCTATATGAATAGTAGTAGTAATAGTAGTACTTGAAAGTAAAAATCAGCCCCCCCCCCCCCCCGTACTCTGATAGCGCACCACCCTACTTATTTTTCCATTTTGTGTTTTTCAGTTTGCACAGCAAAATACGACTGCGTCCACAGGTCGATCGTCCCGGGCACTCTGTGCACCCGTGCATGGCATTTTCGGGACAAGGCAATGGTGAAACATGGAAAAATAGGTGAACTTTTTGTTTCCCCTAACCTCCCCCCTCCCCCTCCCCCTCCCCCTCCCCCTCCCCACCCCCTACAATTTCTTCCTGGCTAGAATCCTGGTGCGCAATTTGCAGATTCCTGTCTCTAGCTCAAGGGACTTGGGGAATGTTCCCGTGAAGCTGATGTGTTGCACAAAGAGTGTCATCACGCATCTGCCACGCATGCCGAGAGTTGAGGATGATGTGCAACAGGTGGAGGCAACCATATGCGGCTGAGTCGATCCTTTTGGTGACGAATCGCTGGATAGAGATTCTGCCGACTTGGTGAACCTCACGTCAGGTTTGATGTGCTCTGAGCAGATCACGAAGGACTTGCTAGAAGCGGAACACCAGGGAAGAGAAGCGTTTCGAATATTCATCAAGAATCGCTTTGTCAAGCAGTGTGAGAAGTTCCATGACCCCATACAGAAGCTCACGTTTACCGTATGCAAGGAAGCGTCCAACCACACGCAGTGCTTTGAAAGTAGCTGTGCTCAAGGCAGATTGTGCACTCTTCACCAAGATGGCCGTAATTGCCCGTTATTGCCCAGCAGGGTCATCTTGACATTCGAGAAGTTCTTTCCTATCCACTTTCAGCTGCACCCATGTCGCTATGCTCTTCAGAAGGCACCTTGGTGAAGACAAACAAGGCCGGCCGCACTGCTACATCTCCTCAGCGAGACTGACAGTACCAGTCATGAACCAGCACCTCCATCTTCAGCTGCATTAAATGTTGATGCCATGGCTCTACTACGGACCCTCAAGCTGACTTCCTTGCCAGGTCCGCTCGGAGAACTGGCAAAGCATGTTTTTATGTGCCTTGCAAGGAATTTCCCCCAATTTCGCCGCATCGACTTTGTGGCAGACACATACCCAGAGTATTCCATCAAGGATGTTGAGCGAAATCAGCGAGCACAATCTCATGGTGAGATCCGACTACGAATTTCAAGTGGGCAACAGCACACGCTGAAGCAATGGGCAAAATTCTTGTCAAGTGGCAGCAGCAAGACTGAGCTTGTAAGCTTCCTTGTAGCAGGATGGTCAACTGATGTCTACACCAGCCACCTGAATGGTAGACAGCTGTACACAACAGACAGTATTAGCTGTGTCATGCTAGTGTCACCTGATGGCCTCACCACCACCACAACGGAGTGCTGCCGGCTCGACTGCTTGCACGAAGAGGCAGATACTCGGCTTCTGCAGCATGCTTACCATGCTTGTACAGAAGGCTTTAATTCTGTTACAATCAAGTCGCCGGACATTGACGTAGCGGTTTCGGGGTGCGGACTAAGCCACCGCTTCCCTGACTATTATGAAGCTACTCAGTGGCGGATTTAGAGGGGGGCAAAGGGGGCACGTGCGCCCCCCCCCCCCCTTCAGAAGCGCCGACCGACTTTTTTTTTACTGATCTCGATCGAAACCGAGCTCGCGCGCACTTCCTGTGTAGATTACAAGGCCCAGTCGCTGTACTGCATGCACTGTACACATTCATGCACTGGTTCACCGGGTCCGTAGATCGATTCTGCTTGTTGCACCGGTCACAACAGCAACTGTTGAGCGCAGCAACTCCGCACTTGGCTACATCAAGACCAAGTTGCGCAGCACCATGGGCAATCAGCGTCTCAACGACCTGATTCTACTCTTCGTCCATAAGGACATCGCCCTTGATGTGGATGCCGTCATCGACCGGTTTGCACGGATGAAGCCCAGGCGTATGCTGCTTTCCAACGCAATCACTGCTGATAGCTGAACTAATAGTACGAGTATTTCACACTTGCATACCAGCATTAGAAATTAATCATTTTACTATACAACTTGAACTAAATAATTACATCAATTCATAAAACATCACAAACATCATAAAACAGGTCTTTTTCCGTTTGGTTGGTACAATTGCTGATTGTTATATTATACCAATAGTGCCCATACATTTACATGTTCAAGTATCACAAAAGTCATTGTAAAAGTAAACTTGTTCCATTGAGCCTGTAGTGTGCCCCCCACCCCCCCCCCCCCTTGTTTCGGATCCTGGATCCGCCACTGCTACTGTTTATGCCTGGTCCCAGGACCAAAGTACGGCTCCTGAATCTGTCAAAGATTGGCTCTACACTAGGAACTTCCGCGTGTGATGCCCTGATCGGCATGCATGCATTCACCGGGTGCGATGCAGTCAGTGAGATCCAAATAAAAGGCAAGAGCAATGCTTTCCAGCTCCTGACCAGTGCTGGAAGTAAGGGAGGTCTGGCAAGAACTGCAATGACGGAACATGGCAAAGACTTCAACCCTCTCTCCGTAGGCGCCATGGCGGAAATTGAGTGGTTTGTCTGCATGTTCTATGGCCGGCCAGACCAGTTTTAAGCGCTTTGAGTTGTTTTGTTTGCTGGATAGTGGATAGTGCCAAGGATCCCAGCAGACTGCCCCCATGCCACGACCCTCTGAGGAAACATGCTGCAAGGGCCAACTTCCAGGCAGCTATTAGGCGACATACACTAGAAGCCCAACCCGCTGTCCCCAAAGCGCATGCTGGAAGCCATGGTTGGCAGCGATCCAATGGCCAGCCGCACATTGATCGGCTCTCGGCTGCTGCAACACCACGTGCAGTCTTGGAATTTGTCAAGTGTTCCTGCAAGACCGGCTGCCAAGAAAACAGATGCTCTTGCCAAACCCAATCCCTTCCCTGAATGGATGTTTGTGGATGCTATGGCGAATGTAGCAACCGCGAACATTCAGGTCGTCCCATGACTGAAGAAGAGGATGACGACACTGTCCACTGTGAGTAATATTATTGTCTAATCTTCATCCTCGGGTGCTGAGCCAAAGTAATCATGGATAAAGAGACAGGTATAATGGTATTGAGCACCCTTCGGACAGTGAAGAACACTACTTGATTACGTAAAGAGAAAGGACAAAATGTTATGAGTTATGACTAACTGTCCACCAACGTAACCAGATTATATACAGTCAGCGAGTGCGAGAGTCAGGTCGTTGAATGTCTCAGTACTCCTTGTCATTTTTTTTGCCATTTTGTCGCACTCGCTGACCGTATATGATCTGGTTACGTTGGTGGACAGTTAATCATAACTCGTAACATTTTGTCCTTTCTTTTTATCCATAATCTTCATCCAGATGTACTTCTTATTACAGAGATTTAGCAAGATGAAATCCGCGTTCGTGTTCACACTCCAGTGAATGTTGAACTTAGTGACGGAATTTGCGTGATGATGAGGATTAGGAAGCAGAATTCACACTTGCAAGACGTTGACAGGTTGTACATGTGTACAGCGTATACAGCGTACAGTGGTCCACACAGCGTACAGTGGTCCACACAGCGTACAGTGGTCCACACAGCGTACAGTGGTCCACACAGCGTACAGTGGTCCACACAGCGTACAGTGGTCCACACAGCGTACAGTGGTCCACACAGCGTACAGTGGTCCACACAGCGTACAGTGGTCCACACAGCGTACAGTGGTCCACACAGCGTACAGTGGTCCACACAGCGTACAGTGGTCCACACAGCGTACAGTGGTCCACACAGCGTACAGTGGTCCACACAGCGTACAGTGGTCCACACAGCGTACAGTGGTCCACACAGCGTACAGTGGTCCCTCTATAATCCGGCACCATTTGTGCCACGGAAGATCTGCTGGATTAGGGAGGGTGCTGGATTAACAAATCTGATTTACTGCTGCAATGTGCATGAAGAGGACATTTTGGCTCCTGAAAATTGTGCTGGTTTATCGAGGGTGCTGGTTTATAAAGTGCTGGATTAGAGAGGGACGACTGTAGTAATTTTATGACTGTCCTCACACAAATCCACAATTCGTGTTTTGACTGCTTTTCTGAACGAAAATTCGCAATCAAGTTCGTGAACCGGAAAATGTTCGCGAACTCGAACACGAAATTCGTCATGCTAAACCTCCGTGTTGTGCTCAATTTCCTTGGCTGCAGGTAGTCACACGGGATATATTTGGTCCACCTTGTTTTTGTTTTTTTGTTTTTTTGTGTTACAGAGCCGTTGCATTACTAGACATGTCTGGTCCAAAATCGCCATCGCCACAACTGTCATCATGTTGCAGCATTTGTGTAACATTTTTAACTGGAACCTCTCTGTTTCAACTGTTTAACTGTGATGGAGGTAATGACAGGCAGCACCGTAAATGAGGGGCAAAGAGGTGATCTTCATCCAAGTGAACAGAATCTACAAGGCACCGTTGAATTGTCTTGCACTTTTCATGTATAACTTCACTCTGCACAGTATCTACACTCCATTCTACACTTACCTGCTGTGCATCTGGTGATAGCAGGCGTGCCATATGCACTGACACACAGAGTAGTGGACACATGGCTGGAACACGATGACTCTTGATCTGCACAAAATGCACAAAGTCCAGTGTGCACAATCACATCATTGACTAGTATTAGAAGATGCCTTTCTAATAATTATTTCCTTGGCTTGCAGAAAAGAGAAGGCTTGAAAGAAGTATACTCATGGAAAACTTTCAAAATGTTCCTGTTAAACCTGAAGTGTGTCCGCATTCTAAGTGTTATAGCATTTCTGTCTCCGAGGAAACTATTTTTTTTAGAGAATATTTCAAAGAATGACGACTCAACAGTACGAGTATGAGTTGCAGGTTTGCCGAGTGGAAGGCTCGGTGGACTTCTCCTGCGCTCTGGATGGCAGTCATGAGTCAGTCAAGTGTCAAAGCAGTCGGTGGAAAAGAGCGAGCTCCGCGGTATGGGGAGCACCTTTCCTATGAAATGACGAATCAACTCTAACAAAGTTTAACCCACATGCGTGCACCTACCACCACACACCCAAGTGTGCGTGCACAAACCCGCTAGGCCTTACGGCCAAGCATAATAATATTATTATGTATACACAAGCAAGTACTCCACATTGCAATATGCTTGCAAAACCTTGCTCGCACGAAACCAGCATCACCAAGCAGAGAACCTAGTTGTGGGGGTTTGCCATTATCTTTTTTTTCTTCACATTCGTCACTCTTTGAAATATCACCAATGATAGCAAATTGCCATGTACCGCAAAGAGCCGTCGGGCACAAGCCAATGCATGGCTCGTAATTCTTAACGCCTTACTAATCGCACAGCACGGCAATTTGCAACAAGCACAATTGACAAACCTGTTACCCGGCAACAGCAAACGGGTGCGCATTACGGGATTGGCCTGGCAACTTCAAACAAGCACAATTGACAAACGCGGTGCCCCCTGGGCACGGGAATGCACCAATACAAACACGGCCCCGGCAACAGCAAACAGGAACGCCGCTACAAACATGGTGTCCCGGCAAACTCAACGGGAACGCACCAATACAAACACGGCCTCGGCAACAGCAAACGGGAATGCCGTTACAAACATGGTGCCCCGGCAAACTCAACGGGGACACACCAATACAAACACGGCCCTGGCAACAGCAAACGGGAGCGCCGTTACAAACATGGTGCCCCGGCAAACTCAACGGGAACGCACCAATACAAACACGGCCACGGCAACAGCAAACGGTCGGTCTAGCAGTCCACCGCCATCACGTCCCATGCGTGTAAGCAATGGCCTGCACGAGAAGTAGAAGTTGTGAGCCAAAGACAGGATTTGATAACACCCATGCATCCCCATCGCCATGAGATTCTGAATAGCAACAGTTTGTGCAGCATCTGGCCACACTGTAATGGTCCGTTAAGTATCTCACTGCGGTCTTCTAAGTTCTTCACATCGTCCATCAGCACTCACTGCGCGGACCTGGAGCCATTGATCTGTGCTCAGCAATCTCTCGGGAAGAACACAGTTGGGCTCATCGTCGACGGTGGTCCCGACTGGAGCATGAGGTTGACAGTAACCTTGATGCGATTGAGCATGATGTGGAAGAGACTGCATCTAGATTCTCTAGTAGGTGTGAGCTATGCACCTCATCGCAGTCGGTTTAACCCAATAGAGCACGCCTGGAACCCACATTCTAATGACCTGACAGGACTAGTAATGCCAGCAACTGTTCCCGGTGAAGACACACCACTCTCTCAGCAAGCTGGACTCAGCCCAGAAAATGTGCTAGAGAAAGAGGCCATTGTTCATGACAAGGCAATTGCCACAGTAGCCAGCCACTGGAAGGACAAGGTGTATGATAGCCACGCAGTTCGCGCAGTTCCGGTGTCATGCAGCAGCTCGAAGAATAGCAGTGACACAAAGCAGCAAGACCGCCTTGCCGCATTCGCAAATTCTGGTGTGCAGCCCTCGCGATCTGACCAAGATAAGGTGAAGCTGAAGAAAGACTAGTGCTTCCTAACGGACCACATTGACTATCTTCTGGCATTCATCAAATGCACCAATGCGTCTTGTCAGCACTGCACAACCAAACCAGTTCATGCCTCGGCTTCAACCAAACTTCTTCCACAAGACTGGAATGTTCACACCTACCCCAGATCCACAATACTGATATTTACGAACAGCCCCAAGGATAATAATTATAAGTTCCTTGAAGCTGACCCTGACAATACGTTTGTTGCGCTCTTGATGACTATCATGAAAGCATACACCCATGACCTGCAGTGTTACAAACCCCAGTGAGAAAAGAGGAGAAATGCATCCCCCTTGATCCAACACTACAATCAGACACATTCCCGGGACCGTCGCAAACAATAGTGTGCAGCAAGCAAGCATGAATTTTACACATTATCATGGTATCGTGATCAAATAAGACGTGAGTGCAATAACACTGGTCTTACCTCAAGAAACTTTTCCCAATAGGCAGGCCAGAGGCATTCGTGCCAGTGCAGCAGCAGAACCAACGTCCACTGGCACATGTACTTTACCGAGGGCTGATGTTCTGTAGACAGTACTGTGTAGATATAGTCTGCTAGATATGTACACGCTTCCTGAAGTAGAGTTGAAGCACAACAAGTAGAACAATTTCACTCAGCAGTACACAAGGAGAATGTGTATCACAGTGATAGAGAGGGAGGGAGGGAGAGAGGGAGGGAGGGAGGGAGAGAGAGAGGGAGAGAGAGAGAGAGCAACAAGACAGCTATTGAATACATGACGTATTGATGTTAGTCAGCTACATGTAGCAGCAGAGACCTTCACTACTAGTAAGAACACCAGTAGCAGTGGTTAGCCACATCTACAACCACAGCAACGACACCAAGAGCAGCAAAGGTTCTTGTTTAGACCCATCAAGGCCACATGCTGGTAGCAGACAATACTACAAGCTGTTGCTGGTGGACTGTTAGTGCTGGTGTCTGTGTAAGTGTGGGAGTGCTGCAAATGGTTTTAAACAGGCCGAACACAGCGGAGCTCACAGCACTGAGTAGAGAGGATAGCAACAGGATTGCCTGCCATAGCCGTTGCTTCTTGTGGTGACTGGGACTGCAGAAAGAGTACTTCATTTTAGCATTGTTTAGAGATTGGTCCTGCAGTAGAGGAAGCAGCAGTAAACAAAGATGCCCATTGTTTAGTTTTTAAAGGGGAAGTTAAGGCAAAAATTAAAATTTCACCAGTTGTAGTCTTCGGGGTGCTGAGTCGAATGGTCTTGGTCCGAGAAAGCTGAGACGCTCCCTTCCTACTTGAATCCCAATCGAACTCGCGCACTTCCACCGAAACTGGGTGACTGCGCCCTACGAGATGGGGATTTGTATGCAAAATGTCACTAAAAGCGCCATTTCGTTCTTATAAAAGCACGGATGACCGCGATTGGCCCATATGTTGTAGTCTTTTGGACGCTGAGTCGACTGGTTTTGGTCCGAAAAGGCTGCGATGCAGCGTTCCGCCTTTATTCCCAATCGAACATGGTTGAACAAGCGGTCACGTGCTCCTGCGTACGCCAGTCACCTGGTCACCGTGCCTGCAGGGTACAACTTACTAGCCTGTTTGACCTTTTTTGGGTGCAGTCCTGTCACTCGAGTTGAACTCGAGTTGAACCTTGGTGTGAAAGTTGTCACCTGCTGGCGTGGTGACCAGGTGATTTGGGCACCCAGGACCACGTGCCCACTTGTTCAACCATGTTCGATTGGGAATAAAGGAGGAACGCTGCATCGCAGCCTTTTCGGATCAAAACCAGTCGACTCAGCGTCCAAAAGACTACAACATATGGGCCAATCGCGGTCATCCGTGCTTTTATAAGAACGAAATGGCGCTTTTAGTGACATTTTGCATACAAATCCCCATCTCGTAGGGCGCAGTCACCCAGTTTCGGTGGAAGTGCGCGAGTTCGATTGGGATTCAAGTAGGAAGGGAGCGTCTCAGCTTCCTCGGACCACGACCATTCGACTCAGCACCCCGAAGACTACAACTGGTGAATTTTTAATTTTTGCCTTAACTTCCCCTTTAACAATAAAGATGGAAAGTTTTCGAAATTTTCGGTCAAAGTTGCCTTCAGCGATTTCTTGAAGCCATTGGGCTTGTCTTTGCCTCAAATTTCTCTTCATACATGTACATATTTGTTCTTTAAAAACAAAGTTTATGAAACAGGCTGGTTTTCGGATTCTGGAAGACTTTTTAAATGGGCTCGAGCTGATTTGGGCAGCAGTATTTTGGGGTTTTCGATGCCCGTGGTTGTGTAGGGTAGTATTCCATATAGTGGCGGTTTAGCGTGTGCGCTAAGCCCTGTTAACGAAAGTGGAACATCTGCCACTCATACTTAGTCTGATGATCATGCATCTGATTATGATGTCATTGCTATACATGCGCATGCGCAGCGCGCGCCACTCTCCCACGCGTGCTTTCCAAATCTTGCTTTAGAGAGAGAGAAAGAGAAAAGAGAGACTCCTTTGTCACTTTTGCTTTCCGACGACTTGACTGTTCACTGGTTTGTCCGTCAGTTGTCAATTTCCCCTTCCCTCCCAACCCCATTCGACTGGGGATCACTATCTCTCCGTCACTGTCACCATAATTTCCTCAATCACAGTGTCAGTACAACTCTTGTCACTATACTTATATCGGGTGAGGGCAGTCTATCTCCGCAGCTGGCTCATTTCAATCACTACCGGTCGCAGCTCCTGCCCACGGCAGGCCGACCGTCTCTCGTTCACACTCTGTGTGCTCCAGGTCACAGCTCCTGCGCAGAGCAGGCCGACCTGTCTGTCTCTCTCTCACACACACTATGTGTGCACCGGGTCACAGCTCCTGCGCAGAGCAGGCCGACCTGTCTTTCTCATGCACGCCAGCTGCTCCGCCCAATACCCCTGATATGCCAACCAGAAAACAATGTGTTCTGAGCCGGGTGCATGCCTGTATGTGGAGAGTGCGTTAATGAGTTTCAAAAGTATAGACCTCTAGACTTTTTCGAATAATTCAAATTTGGTTTGAAATTTTTCAGAAAATTTCTTCGGAGTATTGCTCAGGCAGCTCCCGCAATTTTTCTCATATAAATTTCTAAGCGATTGGATAAGAAATGCCCAATTTCAGAAATTATATGGATAAAGTGATTACAGATTTTATGTGGTATAGATGCTGGCCTAATGGGTTTTTTGAAACCAGAGGTCTGGACTTTTGAAACACACTATAATAGCTCACACTCAAGCATGCATACCACTGTATGCATGCTGGAGTGCAAGCTTTCGATGTTTGTAAATGTACTGAAATCCTGGGTCGGGAGTATGGTAGAAGTCCATACGAAACTCTCATACAGATTCACACATGTATGCACTATGGAAGAAATACATGTACATACGAGTTCCCGTACTGAACGAGGCTTAAATATTCAACCCTTCTGTGTGCCCTAGGTAATTACGCTCTCCGCCCCAGCATCCCTCTTACGATTCAAGTACATGTACTTACGAATTCCACAAGTGCCTTGACCAGCTGCTCAGCTAGGTTGGCATGTGCAGGGCAGGACGAACGTAGAGCAGCCAGAATGGCAATGCCGTGCACTCGGACAAGACGATCATCACGAGAACGCCTACAACAGTCGGGTATCAACACACACAATACATCAACACTCATTCAACAGCACAACAATGGTATGTTGTCTAACACGACTTGCACTGTATAGGCCTGCCTTGCATTTCGAAATTAGAAAACCCTCCTTCTAGAGTTACAAGGGAGAGTGTAAAGGGCACATACACGTATCAACACAAACTCACAGCCCGGTGCGAGAGAAGTTCAGCTACATCTGTTGCAAGACAGTGTAAATCAGCAACACTCGACATCTATAATGTTAGGTATGAAGGGCAGCATTGCAGAGCACAGCATACATACTGACCTTGTAGGGATCAGGTTAGCTGAGCACTGGTCACCAAGATTCTCCACGAACAGACTTGCAGCATTCTCCAGACTGAAAGTTCAACGATACATAGAGAGAATGGAAAACACAGGAAGACATGTCACGTACATGCGTACTGGCAAAGACAGAGACGGATACTTAGGCCACTATGGAACTTGTTACACCACCAATCCCACTCTTGTTCTGAATCTCCCCCCCCCCCCCCCCAAACCCCAAAGAGAATGGCATATCCAAAGTACGCACAGTTACACACAGGTACCTTATAATCGTTTAGAGTGGGAAACTCTGACTGCAGCTAAATGTTCACTCTCTCCCTGTTGTATGTGCAGGCTCCACACTGCGGTGTTGAGCACTCTTCATTTGTTGGGTAGTCTGGTTGTATCCACACTATGCCAGGATATACAAGGTCCAAGATCCCAAGATGTGTGTGTGTGTGTGTGGGGGGGGGGGGGGGGGGTATGTGTGACTTGTGTGTGACCTGTGTGTGCCATACATTGTACGTGTGCACGCACACTTCACAGCCTTTCACTTCATAATCCTACCGGATATTCTTCGTCCGTTGAGGCCCATACGTAACGATGCTAATCCACAGATCAGAGTGAAGAGCAAGAGAGCTCGCAGCGTCAGCTTGATCCCGAGCACTACCTTGCAATAGCTTGAGCCAATGCGAGCAACACTGATCAGCGACAAGATTGAATATGCCGATGGCAAGATCAGCCATGTCTGCGACTTGCGATGTGAACTGAAACAGAGCAGCAGAAACATACACATGAACATTCCATGTATATGTATATGTATATGTATATGTATGTATATGTATATGTACAGTCGTCCCTCTCTAATCCGGCACCTTTTGCTACGGCATTTTCTGCTGGATTAACGAGGGTGCTGGATTAAGAAATCCTGCCCTCTGACCCGGCCCTACCCAATTGCATGCATGTATCATATGTATGTCAAAACGCAGGGTTTTTCCGTGTCGACCCAAGTATTTGGTGCACGGCTTTATATTCTCAATTGTCCTCCGGGAATATACACAGTGATAAAGTAAAACAGAGAACATGTTCACATGTACTCTTGCACACACACGCACACACACACACACACACACCTGAAAATTGGCAGGACACTACTCCTTGCTAAATAAAAATAAGAAAGTATAGTTGACTGCCGTTGTCTCCTGGACAAGCCTAGCCTGGCCTGGCAAGGAGTGCACCTGTACGGTACGCGATTTAGATTTACGACTGCCGGATTATGAAATCAAACTACGTGCAGTTTGAGCGATTCGTTTCAAAAAGTCACTGCCGGAGGCGGAATTCAAGTGCCGGATTAAGATGTAGGAATTGAACGAAAAAAATCGGTTTCGTCAGAAAGTGCGCCGGTTGGCAAGGGTTCCGGATAAACAAGTGCCGGATTAGAGAGGGACGACTGTATATGTATATGTATAATTATGTAAGATGATTGCATACCTATACTGTATATACACAGATGCATGAGCACACACAGCGGAGAGGAGACAAAGTATAGGAAGTCTAACACAAGCACCATTACACGTGCTCGTGTGTGTGTACGCGTGCGTATGTGTGTGTGTGTGTGTGTGTGTGTGTGTGTGTGTGTGTGTGTGTGTGTGTGTGCATGTGCATGGGTGTGTGCGTGCGTGCGCGCATGTGTGTATGTGTGTGTATGGTGTGTGTGTGTGTGTGTGTGTGTGTGTGCGTGCGTGTGTGTGTGTGTGTGTGTGTGTGTGTGTGTGTGTGTGTGTGTGTGTGTGTGTGTGTGTGTGTGTGTGTGTGTGTGTGTGTGTGTGTGTGTGCACTCCCGTCATCTCACTACTGCTGATCTAGCCCAGAGAGCGCGTCTTTCTGAAGACATTGACACTCTCCTGCGTGAGTACCGTCTGCATTGGCTGGGTCATGACGCCCATATGGACGCAGCCCGGACTCCTCAACAAGTGTTGTTTGGGGAGCTCGAGGCAACCAGACCTCGGCATGGACCAAAGAAGCGTTGGCGAGACACGGTTGTCGGTGATCTGCGCTCACTGGATATTCTGGAGTCCGAGTGGTACCAGCTCGTACAGGATCGTCCGGAATGGTGCAGGCGGGTCCATCAACATCGTCTTCCTCTCCCAGCACCGAAGGACTTCCACTGCGCATGCGGCAGTACGTTTTGGAGAAGTGGCGATTTGAAGCGTCACCTCAAGTACTGCCCAACTCATAGCCTATCATCTCCACTGGAGATGGGGCGTCAAAGGTCAAGGTCAAAGGTGTGTGCATGTGTATGCGTGCACGTGCGTGTGTACATGCTTGGTGAATGTCTCGGATACCAGGAAATCTAGCAACACTCTAATCTATATACGTGGGTGAGCCAACACAGCCGCTATCACAGCACACAAGCTGTACCTTATGCATACGTTCTGCAACATGCTCTGGCACATCAGCCCTCAGCAAGCTGGGATGGTATATGGTTGTAATGACAGCACGGCACACAATGTTATCACGTTGCTCTCTCAGCAGAGTCCAGCATGCTGAAATCACAGACACTACTACATCACCGTCCACCTCGACCACCTAGAATCAGCATAACAATGAAAACACGAAACAAAAAAACAAGAAATCGTTAAGTGAAACAGTGTGAAATTAACACTAACACGATACTATGGTGCAGGGATGACAAAACTTCACCACCAAAGTGAAAGAAGCAACAACATGGACCAAAAATAGGACTGAACTGTGCGAATTACGGACAACATTCGCATTTTCAGGTTCCAGAGGGTGCCCTTCGAGGTCGTGTCCAGCCCTTTCTTATTGGCAGCCACTGTCAACCACCACCTCAAGACAGCCAGCAGTGATGTGGCAGCCGACATCCAGCAGAGCATGTACGTGGACAATCACATCAGCGGAACAGACACTGTCACCAGTGCTGTTCATCACTACGAACAAGGCAAGCAGCTGTTTGAACAGGCGTCGATGAACTTGCGAGAGTGGTCATCGAACAGCAAAGAATTCATGCAGTTGATTCCAGAGAAAGATAAGGCATCAACAGCGACGGCAAAGGTTCTGGGAACGCAGTGGCACACTGAGCTCGATTTAATCAGAATCAGTCCAATGAGCAGCCGAGACAGAATTGTGAGGACGAAGCGAGATTTGGTCAGCGAGATGTCCCAATTCTACGATCCACTGGGCCTGTTCTCACCCATCATCACACGCGCGAAGTTGCTCATACAAGAAGTTTGGAAGCGGGACATTGGCTGGGACGATCCTTTACCCCCAGACATCATGGAGCGTTGGCGGCCAAGGCGAGCAATGTCCAGGTTCCCCGCTACGTCGGCGATCAAGGACAGCAAGCATCGCAGAGAGAGCTTCACATTTTCTGCGATGCGTCAAATGAAGCTTACGGCGCAGCCGCGTACCTACGGACCATTGGCGATGAAGATAGTTCCCCATCAGTACATCTGATCTACAGCAAGAGCAGAATCTCGCCAATCAAGGCCGTGACCACTCCCCGCCTTGAGCTACTCGCTGCTCTAATCGGAGCAAGGATGGTGAAATTCTTGAAGAACCAGCTGCCCTTTCCCCTGACGGAAGTTCACCTGTGGTCGGACTCACAGTGTGCTCTAGGTTGGATTGAAGGCAGGAACAAGACACGGCCAACATTTGTCGAGAACTGCCTACGGGAAATACGTCAAGACAGTACCATCCAATTTCGGTATGTTCGGACGCGAGAAAACCCTGCAGACCTTCCCTTTTGTGGAACGACACCTGGCGACATCGAAGACAATCAGCTCTGGTGGAATGGTCCAGACTGGCTTTCACCATCAACAGCTTCTTGGCCACCACCAATTAAGCCGGAAACTGAAACAACTGAAGCGACTGAGATCACTGCTGGGATCGCGGAGGGTCCTTCGGAGAATATCCCGGGTTTCGGCACCAAAGAAATGTCGTGACCTGGTTCAAACTATTACTAATTTATTACTATTGGGAACTATTGCATGGACAGCATCTTGATGCTACAATCCGTAAGATTCTCTACAACACGCAGCTCTAGCTGTGTGCTCTATGCACAGAAGTCCACTCCAAGTCAAACACTCGTTGCAAACATATCCAGAATAATTACTTCCAATAACTCCATCTCACTTCCAAACTTGTCCCAACTGGGCACAGAACAATAACTAATTCAAAAGTGAAAAGAATTCGGGTGGACACACCCATTCCCATAGCGCTGCACATCACATCCGAACCAGTTCCGTTATTTTTACAACGAAAGGCAATCAAAAACAACTCTATCGCGCCAGCCTAAAGAAACATGATAAACGGCCGGCTGGTTCAATTCAAATGTAGCGATATGTGTACCTGAAGTAGCTGAGTACAACATATGTGTAGCATTCTAGCAGTTACCTGAAGCGTACATCATACATGCGCGTAGCCAAAGAATGCCAACAAAAGTAGCATAGGGTCAAATACAACGTAAATTCAAACATAAACAGTCGCTTCGCGACAACTAGTGTGAGTGTAGTGACGGATTCTTTTTGAATACATACGTCAGGTTGGCGTTCGTGCATGTATACAGCGGAGGTGGAAGAAGAAGTCGGCTGTGCACAGGCATTTGTTGTCAAGTCAGCACTGTGGTGAGTTGTGTAATGATTCCTAGTTTAGTACTGTATGTCTTGCTCGTAAGGTTCCTCAATAGAAGGTGTTAGGAGCCGTATACATGCACGAGCGCCAACCGTGAGCATGTGGGGGGCATGTGATCTTACATACAGCAGTAGCCAATCACCACACAAAACACAACATAGTAATGCATGTACAAGGACTACCCTCCTCACCTGCGGAAGAAGGGTTCTCAAGGCTACCAGAACTGGCAAGCCAGCTTTGCCGCCAACAACCGATAGTGCCGACACAGCTGCAGTGGTCAGTTCAACACCAGGAAATACGTCATTACCATCTGGCTGATTCCTACGACCAGCTTCTCCATTTGACAGGACATGTGGAATGACACGTACCAACGCATGCCACAAGCACTGGAAGAGTGTTACAAAAGATCACACGCACACACGCACGCACACACACACACACACACACACACACACACACACACACACACACACATACACACACAGCGCACACAGAAGAAAGCAATGAGCGTAATCACAGTGCAATGAAAGAAGATTTGCCAGAACAGCATTTCCAAATAACAACACAACAGGAAAGAGCTTAATTATACAGTGTCAACAGAACCATCACCTGAATCTCACCTGCACACATTCTGCACCAAAGCGGCCCCAGTCCTTGTGCATCTGAGCAGCATTCTGCACAGCTGGCCTTGGCGGAACCATGTTCTGATTGGCCAGGGAGAGAACAAACGTGCACAGCTTGTCAAAGGCATCAGCTGCAATGGCATCGTGTGACATCCGACGTCGCTGGCCATCCTCTTCCAGGTGAATACTGGCCAGCCATGCTAACAAGTGAAGCGAAGATAACTGCTGGAGGGCCTGGCTCATGCTAGAGTTAGCCTGTGCAGTTGGACATAAATGTTTGAACAGGAAGAACCATACCATCATAACTTGCTTCATATCTTAGCAAGAACACAGCTATGTGCCAAGACAATCATGGAACTGACAGCCATGAAAAACAAAACTGAATAACAAAGCCAGAAATTATTACAATAAACACCATCAAACGTTCGGAAGCAAAATTAACATGTTACCACAAAGAGGGGTCAATTACAGAGACATCGGAAAAGGGCCACAGGTGTTGAGAGTGTGTACGATGTAGGTTTTCCATCATTTCAGTAGCTTGTTCCACATGACTAAAACATCTATAAACAGGAGTTGAGGAACTACTAGATGCTAGAAGGAGAGAAGAGATGCATGGTATTGTACTTACTGCACCCTGATGGGCTGCAAGGCAAGTGAGATGTATGGTATTGTACTTACTGCATCCCGATGGGCTGCAAGGCAGGTGGAAAGTGAAGACATGCAGTTGAAAATAAGAGATGGTTGGTAGCACATGCTGTGCACGCTGGCCAGATTGGTGAAGCAGTTCTGCTGAGTGGCATCTTGCGTTGAACTGAAAACGGATTCCAACAGAGTGTGCATACTCTGTACGCTCGCCACGCTGACAGCCTACTGAACACACAGTACCCAATGTCAAGAATTTATGCATGCACGCACACGTGCACACACACACACACATACACACACACGCGCAAACACACACACACACACGCAAACACACATGCGCAAACACACACACACACACACACACACACACACACACACACATGGCTCAGGTGATAAGCAGGTACAACCAATATTCCACATCACCACGCATAACCAGCAATTCTGCAAAGCATTGACAACATACAGCACACTGATGTCAGTTCGTCAAACCTCACAGTACCGCAACAAGGATATTTGCCATCTCAAAGGACCAAAGAAGGCACAAACGACGTACATTGTGTTCAGCTATGGACAGCATGCGTTGTTGTAAGAAAGTGACTAACGACGATCCAATGTCATTCAGCAGGCAGCAGATACCACTGAAGAGGCGATCATCTGCAACATACAGCATCCACGCGCACACACGTCCCCAAAACACACAAACACATACACACATACACATACACACACACATACACACATACACACACACACACACACGCAGTGTTCGCATGATAGTGCACATAACCAGTATTCTTTGTTCCCCATGCCGTAGTCATCCACTGACATCGACCCCAATGTTGCAACGAAACCCGGACACTTCCTCAAAGAACATGACTATTACATGACCAAGCGCAAGCTGCAAGGCAAATTTCATTTCCATTTCAGCATAGGACTTCACCATCTTGGAATTCTTACGAAGTAGAGCATTGGAGAACCGACGCTGACGTGCACGCCCTTGGAGTGCACCATAGCTCGCCCACCGCCGTTACCGCAGGAAGTCCATTCGGATCCACACAACGGCAACTCGACAAGACTAGCCGCCTGAACCAAAGACGTGCATTGCTAGCCGACGGCGTTTCCCTTTCAACGGTTTCACGTGCTTTTAACTCTCTTTTCAAAGTGTTTTCATCTTTCCCTCTTCTACTAGCTAGGAATAGTTGGTGGGTTTGTCAAGTTCATCAGAATGTTTCTTTCAACTCTTTTTTAGGTCCGTTTCAGGTCTGATCACGTTGATGGTGCATGAGCATACTGCACCACCTAGGACACACCTAACAAATCGTGCGTGCCTACTATGTATGGCACTGCAACCTGAAGTGTAATGCTAAATTCTGAGCATTGAAAACAGATGTCTGGAGTACCAATGCTACTTTGTCCTACAATAGCAAACGCCATGGTGTTAGTCGCATGGGAAACTTATACAGCTAGTGTTTCAGTACCACACAAAATCAAGGACTATCATGCACACCTGGTTGCGCCATGTCCATTGCCTGTGAGAAATACAGCAAAACAAACACGTTCAGTACGTGTACTTGTCCCTTACTGTCACTATTCTCCTGCTTTCTCTGAACACAAGCGTAGTCCAATACAGCCTGCAGGATCTCCAGCGCAGCATTCGCACGCTGTTGGCAGATGTACGTGTGGCTGTCGATGTTGTCAAGGACATCATGCAGGGGCTTCAGTACTCCAGCATGCCACTGCTGAGCAGTGCCTATGCAAAGACATTGTACACATGCATGCACGTACAGATACATTGTACAATTGTACATACAAGGTATTTGATAACACACACTCACATACATGACAATAATAACACACCGAGTCCGCAAATCTCAATGTGGAAAACTACCTACAGTCGCCACTGTGCTGTAGAGCACTCCAAACGTGTCACCCTTTACAAAACACATTGCTTCATGTCTTACCATTTGCGCTTTCATCATCAGTGAGTGAGTCGGCAGCAAGTGCTACAGCTCTTGCAATGGCTGCAACCGACAAGTCCTCACTGCTCATTTCACCTGAACACAAGATAAGGATATAGCATCATCATCAGTCATCACACACCAGCAGCAGCAGCAGCAGCAGCAGCAGGCACGAGATTGGCAATACATGTACATGTACTAACAGGGAAACAAATAAAATAAAAACAAGAACAGCAACTACAACAACTTCGTCGACAAGGACTGTGGTGGTGGCGGCAGCAGCAGCAGCAGCAGCACTATCACCAAGAATAAAACTGATGCCGGGTGCTTGAGCCAGTGGGAAACAGTATCCACAACTGAGCAGCAAGAAACCTTTTGTCCGCAAGAAGAAAAAACTACCGGTGTGCTAACACTCTGCATTTGTATGAACATAATACTATATGTAATTCAATGCAGCAATAGACAGTTGATGTCGCTTATTGTTATTCAATGAAGCATACCTACAAGTTGGCTACAACAGAACGAAGTACAGTCATGGAGTGACATGCACACAACAGTGACAATGTTGGTTTGCCTATAGGAGTGGACAAAGTGTTCGGCAACGTGAAGAGCACCTAAAAAATGATCCAATGTTTGACTCACTGGCAACTTCAGATGTGGAGGTTGTAGAAGATGCACTTTCTAGCTTCCTGGTAATGAGTCCACGAAGCCAGTCTTGCAGAGCGTATAGAGGGTCCGCCTCTGAAGGTAATCCGCTGGATAGTGCAGATTTGGATACTGTTCTGAACCATGTTGACACCTACATGCATATTTACAGCAAAAAATATCAAAATCATGAACATAAACACATATGCACCCACACACACAATCACATGCACACACACACACACACACACACACACACACACACACACACACACACACACACACACACACACACACACACACACAACGCACACACACACGCACACACGCACGCACGCACGCACGCACGCACGCACACATGCATGCATACATGCTAGTGTACCCCAAACTAAATTGGTTTTTGAATGGCCTCGTACAGGTGATGGGTGTAATGCTGGCAGAATGCTGACAGCAGGATCTACTCACCTCCAACCATATGGCACTGCCTCGAACTAGACTCTCTATTCCATTGAACGTAGAGAGCATCTGAACAATGGAGGTTAATGACACATGTTCCTGGAATAACAGCAGCAGTAATAACAGCAGTCAGCAGCAGTAACAACAGCAGCAGTAACAACAGCAGCAGTAACAACAGCGGCAGTAATAGCAGCAGCAGCAGACTCATAGCAAAAGATACCCAGCAATACGACCAATATTGATACAACTCTGATCAGCCTAGATTCAGTAAATGAGAATGGCATTTCACCAGGCCCAGGGGGTGCACCTGATCAGGGCACAACCTGTACAGACTTGTGAGAAAATTCTACTGCACTTGGTAGTTTACAAGCAAATTTGCGTTTGGTGAAAGGTTTTGAGCCCATGGGTTAATATTCACTTAATAAGCAGAGGTGGGCTCGTGTCCAGACAGATTGTAGCATGGAAATGCTCTGAAACATAGCCCAGTAAGATGGGATAAAGCCGATAAACCTACCCGATCAGTGAGATGAATAACACTCTTCAGCATAAAGCCCTGGGTAGCGGCGCGGATTAGAACCTCGTGAGTACGAAACGCCTTCAGCACCACATGCCTGAAAACCAAACCAAATATACAGGGCATAACTGTTACTCGTATAAGGTATAGTGGGCATAACAATCATGTCACCAAACAATCATGTCACCAACCCATCATGTCACCAAAAAAACACTGGTATCTTCAGGCACTAACCCACCAAAGATGACCAGAGATATGAAAATGACAGGACCAACACCACCAAGATACAACATTTCAATGTAGCAATATACTTCAGTTCAGAGGTAAGCAATACTTTACAATGAAATGGTAAATGTAACAAACTGCATAGTCACATACATACCCAATGTTAGCCAGATCTCCCTCAGCCCATACTGCACAGTCACATACATACCCAATGTTAGCCAGATCTCCCTCAGCCCATACTGCACAGTCACATACATACCCAATGTTAGCCAGATCTCCCTCAGCCCATACTGCACAGTCACATACTGACGCTATGGCATTCCATATGTACATCATTGGCACGGATGTCAGTGAAAGTTGACAGAAGCGATCCAGGAACATTCTCAGGAACAAAACTGTGAAAACGCAAAGGAGACCAACGCATAGTATTACTATCACATGTGCATAATGTCCTGCTTCTGATGTGCATTGTCTCTCCAGTGTTTGATAATATCAAACGCATGTGTATATATACGTGTGCGCGCGTGCGTGTGTGTGCACGCGCGCTCGCGTTACTGCGTCATTGCTGTGAATCAGGCCAATCAGCAATAAATTTAATGGAAAAATAAGGGTTGGTATTTTTAACCTGCTGAGAAGAGTAGCGGTGCAAGATACTGCCTTATGTGATGGCTACATTCAGTGAGCTTTGTTTCAAGGGCTTTTCCTGCTACGCTACAAGAACACTCAAAGTGAAACTTCTGTATGCTACTTGAAGTACTTGACTGCACACTGTAAGCATCCGTACCTTTGTCTTCCGTGGACAGCAGCTTCACAAGATCTGTCAAGAAAGTCTTGAGTAGATCTGCATGTACTGGCAGATCATTGTCAACAACTCCATGATCCCTATCAACACAGCAATGCACGGTCACAAAGAGATCAGCTGTCCATGAACACACATTGCAGTGGCCGCCAGGCAAATGCTACCTACGGGACTTCAATAGCGGCAGTGATGCGCCAGTCATACCATTGGGCCTTGCACAGAACTGGCTAGTACTGGCAATGGTCTCCATGGTCACCTTGAACATGCATTATTCAGGGCAGACATTATTCCCCATCACTCATTCTACATTCCTGCTGACTGGCAACTAACTTCTATTCTCAGAGCTGACCAACTGCAAACTGACGCACAGCAGCTGGGCTCACTCCTGTAACAATTGCAAGTCGATGCGAGGGCTAGGATTCCATTCATATCGATCTCTTATTCAAATCAGATAGTTCTGTGTACGCCAACACAATACCAGGCTTATGTGCCGATTGTCTACATTGAAAATAGTGAACATGAAGCGAGAACGACTACAGTCAACTCTGGATATAGCAAACACTAATGTGCAGGAGAATTAGTTCTTTATAGCCAAAGTCCTTTATAACGGAAATGCACTCACACAGTCACAGTACTGTAAATATACAAATTTTCGGCAGCTATTTAATTTCGGCTATATTCGGCACCGACCCAAAACGCCTAAATTAAAACGCCTGTGAAATTTTTCACAGCATCTGTCGCACTATACCATGCCCTCTATCTACCCCACGCCGAAAATAAATTGCCGCCGAAAGGTCAAAAATCGTGAAGTGCCGAAATTTTGCAGCGCCGAAATTTTGTATATTTACAATATGAAAATTAATGTGTCCTATCTGACATTCTACCCGTGACTGCATAGTTAACATGCTCCCCTACAAGATATGGTTTGTTATAAACGAAAACAATTCGCCACAACGGGTCAATTTTGTATGGGTTCAAACAGGCTATAATTCGCTATAATTCGCTACATGCGAATTCGTTATAAGTGGAGTCGACTATACATGTACATCAGAACATGTAGCAGTGAATCCAGTTTGTCAAAGCTCACCTGGAGTACAGATCAGTTGAAAAAAGTGCCTGCAGAAATGGACCCAGCAGAAACTGCGTAGGAGACACAAAAGAGAATAAGAACTAAGCCCCCATAACCTCAAGCTCCACTGTAGACCCTTGCTCAGCTACTAAACAAAGACTGCTGTCATAGGAAACCCTTTCTCAGGGTGTGCATGTGCAGACTCCACTGCAGCAAACTCATCTTCAAAAAAAAGTTCATCCAAATTTATGGTCTCTGCATTGCAGTTGCGTAAAGTAAAACTCTCAATCAATAGTTCGGCCTTAGGCCATCATCAGGACTGATAAGAAACAGACAGTGATCTGGGCCTAATACTATGGTTTTGTCAACTTCTGGTATGATAGGTAAAGCTTCAATCTCCCCATCATCGCATGCCTTATTTATTGACAAGAATGAAAGCTGCTGCTTGCCGTTCTGCTGGCTATCATGGACAGCCTATGGTGAAACGATCGGCTAAACCCCACTGAAAAGAACTGAGAGGAGTTTTGCAATAGAAAAGATGATTCAATGTGCAAAATACAGTGAGAATCACCAAATTTATACACACAGGTAAGTAAAACGACTCTTACATTCCAAGTGCTGGGCTGTGTGAATACATTGTGAAGAAGGCCAGTTGACTCCAGACAAACGCGCACTGCCCACGTCCCCATGAAAGCCAGCTCATGGCGAAACAGGCGTTCAAATAGCACAGCCAGCCATGAAAAATGCATCACTGTAAACAATAGGACAGGTAAAAGCATGCTTTGCAAATCAAATTACACAACAGTGATTGACACACAGTGACTGAAGCAGGGAATCGACCAACACATCTACACCGTAATACCATGAGTACATTACCCCAAGAGTGTGCAACTCTGCATATGGGGTCTGACGCGGCGCGCTGACCACACTATGCAGCCATGAACTGTGGGCCATTGTGTCATTATTGATTTGCTACGGTTTCCTGCTTCCAAATCCGCTTTTCTCAGAGACTTGGGATGGTTTCGTACGAGTTGCGTCGCGCACGGGCATTGAACTTACCGTATTGCGTGTGAAATCACTGCAGCTAAACTGTAGGAAAGCTCAAATCCAGGCAGCTTGATCGTTATTTCACTGCGTAATGAAGGCAGCGCTCCGCTCAGAGCACCCATGGCTCGAAGATCAGAGTTGCACACTCTTGGGGTTATGCACTCTTGGTGATATGTTATAGAGAAGAAAATAAAAGAAGAAGACACAGATGCAAAGTAGTTGAATGCAATCTGACCTTTCTGTTCACATGCGGCTATCAACTTGTACATCCTGGGCAGCACCGGGCGAATGATGTGTGCCTGCAATGGTATGAGCATAGCACACATAGAGAGACAGAACAGCTCATTGCAAATCAGCAATGATTTTTTTAAGGACCGTGGTTAAATACTTCAAACACACAGCCTTGGCAGCACTGCAGTACATATTTGCATGCTGTTCACAAACACCATGCCTTCCAGGCATAAGATTGCAACACTACAGTCACACAATGTAGTGGGCTCCACCTCGAGTTACCGGAATCCCCAAAAAGGCCATTCAGACACGTGGTCAGCGCTGCCACACCAGCCAACTGATCGGCAGCAGAGAATGAATAAACATGTACCGTATCTCACCCGATATAAGTTGCACCGGTTTACAGTAAACTTCAAGGGAAAAGAAGGGGATGCGAAATCGAGTGTGACAACCTACTCTTATGTGAATACATGTATACCGAAACAGTATGGCTGAAACCTGAAAATGGTGGTGCGACTTATAATCGAGTGTGACTAATAATCGGGGAAATGCGGTACGCAAAGTGTCCAGCGGTACTTGAAGTGCCCAAGCATAGGAGTATACTAGTACTCAGTATAGTACATACCTGTGTCTCTTCCAAAGTGGCCAGAAGTAGCTCAAAATCTTGCCAAGCAGTAACGTATAGCTCATTGCCTGGACACCACCAGAACACTCCACTGCCATCAGCGACTGACACCTTTCCATGCCGCCGCAATGACACTAGACAACAGCGCAGCAAATGGCTGGCCTGCTTGCGGCAAAGCGCATCCGACAGTGACAAGCCATCCACAATCAGTTTCCAGAACTTCGGCTGAAGGCGAATGTCAAAAGACGCACTGACTGTCTTATCAAGCAGCACGTCGATGATACTACAAGATATCAAGAGAGATCGACTCATCCAGCTGAACTCCCCATGCTGTACTTGAGGCGTATGCGACACACTGGAAAGCAGCTCCCACATCTTTATACTCCATTCGGCAATGCCAGGTGATGAAATTGACCATACTTTAGGCACCAGAATTGAAACAAGGAATGTAAGAATGGATTGCGAACAGTGGCATAATGCATTCATTAGCGGTTCAGCTAAACAGGCACAAAACCCGGACATATCGTTAACACCAGTCAAAACGTTCTCCGCAATCTCCACGGCTATATATACAGGAAAGTACATTTCCAATTCCTCGGTACTGTCTGCAGAAGACTGGTCAGTGGCTAACACATCTTCTGTTGGACATGAACATCTCCTCAGTGCAGAGACACATTTTTCCAACACATTCTCATACAATGCTCTCTCGCCATGCCTGCAGCAAAACACTGCAATATCCGAAATGCAACGTCTGTACTTGATTGAGCGAGCTCCATTACAACTAGGCGAGAGACCTCCATACGATTTTTCTACAACAGATGTCCATAGTAATTGCGACACAGCACTAGCTTCCCTCTGCACTAACGAACTAGGCAGTAGCGACTTGATGGCTTCCAAAGTTTGGAGGCCATTTGAGATGAGAATGCCTTCATCGCACTCTTCATCGCTCCCAGATGGGATGCCAACCAACAGCGAGGATATCACATCCACCATGGTGAAAAACTTAGCTCTTCTCAATGGACAGGAGCATGACTGTTGCGCAGAATGCCACAATTATTTTACAAGTACAAGGAATATACAAAATTCTCAATCAACTGTATTTTGAAAAAATGATTTTGTATGACTGCTAAATGCCAGCGCTAGCACGTGATGCACGCACGTGGAAGAGGTTGTTACATGTACGTACATGACTCGGATTTTTTTTCTTTTTCATCAGTTCACTGGTTCACTGGGCACGGAGAATCCGTGTGGACTGGCTTTCACACGAACCATGTTTCGTATGGAGATTTTGCGTCATCGGGTGCAGAAAGATTTTTCGCGTACAAATTTGGTACGAGAAACATGGATTTTCCGCGGGAAGTTTTGATTTCGGTACAAAATTTCAAAATAAAAAGGCATAGCGCGGGAATGTGACGTGTTTGCGATCGTAACCTAGGCAATGACGGCAAACACATAACGTCATAGTAAGTTCCGTACTCCGGAACATTTCACTGCTCGAAAACGACGTATAAAAAATCCGTAGCGCCTCTACGGATTTTTCTCCCTTTCTCGACTCTCTGGCCTTGCTGGTACTGCTGTTGCCTGTTGCCAGTGTTCGAGTTCGAAACATCGCCGGGTTGGTTGGTTGGCTGGTTGCTGCTGCTGCTGTTGCTGCTGCTGCTGTTGCTGCTGCTGCTGCTGGCAGCCTGCTGCTGCTGTTGTTGTTTTCAACTTCAATAAACGGGAACCAGGCCCAGTGATATAAAGGCGAATCATCGGGACAACTTGAGCCGCATTTAGAAATGAAAGGAAAGGGTTGAGGTCGCCGATTGTGACAAAAGAATCATAAGCCATAATCTGATAATCTTGTTTCGCTCTTCTTTGCAATGTGAATAGGTCAACGGGGAGGAAGGGAAGGAGGGAGAGAGGGAGCGATGAAGGGAGAGAGGAAGGGAAAGAGGGAGGGGGAAGAGGGAGGGAGGAAGAGAGGGAGGGAGAGAGGGAGAGGGAGGGAAAGAGGAGGGAGGTAAAGAGGGACGGGGGAGATGGAGGGAGAGAGGGAGGGAGGGAAAGAGGGAGAGGGGGAGGGACAGAGGGAGGAAGACTCGGAGGGAGCCGGGGTAGGAGGGAGGGAGGGAGAGCGAGACAGACAGACAGACACTGAGACAAAGAGACAGACAGACAAAGAGACAGAAGCAGAGACAGAGAGCTTCTTCAATTTTCTTCCAGGAGACACGGGTACGGTAATGACCGAAGTTCGGGCCGATTTAGCTGAAAGCTCAAGACGCGATATCTTTCCTCAGTCTCCAGACAGCACGCTGTTTCGACCTTATACTTATTACTGTATGTCTCCTCAGCGGAGCTCAGAGTTACTGGCCGAACCGATCGCAATGAAGTCTTCTGAACAACAAAGCATTATTAAACCGACTCAAAGCTCTAAAGTCAAAGTTAACTGCGATAAACAACGCGAGCTTTGCACCAGGGCAGACAACTAACGTTTGTGTTACTTTAACGTTTACCAGAAAGAGTGTTCAACTCAATCTGCGGACAACATGCTGTTTCGACCTTACTAGGTCTCCTCAGCGGACCTCAGAGTTACTGGCTATCTTTCCTCTGTTGTTTTGGCGTCCCTCGGAGGCTCCGTTTGACCACTCGCCAGCCAGTGTTATACAAAGTCATGTACAAGTATGCGTTTGTGTTAACGCAGGGACACGCACTGCCCATCCATATTACTACGTGTAGTACGCTACAATCATTGCAAGCTACTTCGAAGTACAATGCCATGTACATGTAGCTGGAAATGGGAGCCTATGGCTATGTTTTACTATCAGTTGCAGTGCAGCAGTGCATTAGTTAGCTGTAGTGCGAGCCAACAGGAAACTATAATTATTCGAAGTGGACCATAGCTAAGCAGAGTGCATGGGGTCATTTCACCGGCGACTTGTCAAAGGTGGTGGGCTAGCAAGCCTAGCATGCTGGCAAATAGCATACTGACCTGCCTAACATTACCAAACTAGTGCACGTCGGACTTATACGTGATACTATGGTAATATTGGACAGCCCAAGCCTCAAGTTGCGTTTCTGTTTGTGCACATCTCTGCCTGTGCTCTACATCTCTCATGCCCGTATTTGGGCAAGGCGAATGCGCACAGCCCATCCTTTGATTGGCCTTGAAATTCTCTCAATCCCGCAATGCTGCCAGTAGCTGGCTAGTGACGTTGCCTTGAAATTGGTCAGGCTAGTTATACATATGCTGCTAAGAGATGTAGCTACAATACTAGCCTGCCGCTTAGTGCTAACCAGTGTGGCAGCATAGTCGTTGACAGCTGGATGGCCTGTGCCTCCCCTTGGCGCTGACCGCAGGCAGTGTTTGGCATAATCTCAGCGGCTGACGTACATGTACAATGACTATGTACACAACTGAGGTGTCAAGCTGATGAATGCTGCCAGCTAGCCCAGCCTAGCATAGACATAGCCAGCAGCAGGATAGACGGATTTCAGACTGCAACTGGTTTGACAGGTGGATGTAACTGCAAAGTATTGACATGTGACAATAATCATAAATTGCAATGACGAATAGAGTCTGTTGAAGCTACCTAACACCATGAACACAGCAAGTAGCCATATCTCCCAGTAAGGACAAGTACAATCAGTCATGTAGATCTATGGATAGTAACACTGCCGGTGAAGTAACCATGACCTGCACTATGCGGCGAGTATGCCTATGCCATGGCCATGATGACTGACTGTCTGTACGACACTCTTTCAGCACTGCTCTATCATTGAACACACACGTGATTGCATCCTATCGTCGACTCTCGTGATTTCGGCCATTTTGGCGGGGAAAGACGACAAGTTGCACACAGGCTCGGCTTAGCGGTACGTCTCTGAGCACGCACTCCTGCCCTTCATTGCCATACATTCTTATTCACTTCTTCGAATCCGGATGCGACGAGCAATGGTTTTGCCCATGTAGGCGCTTTTACCATGTTTACCGCTAACGCCGGGGCAAGGCCACACTGCAAATCCACTGTTCCGTCAGTTCGGCGAAACAGTAAATGCCTAGCCGGAGGAGCGCTGGGCCATGCGCTGCTTCGTCGTGCTTCAATGAGCCGGCGTCGATAGAGCTCTTGGCTACATTGTGGTTCAATTGACCAGGACGCGGGTCTTTCAGCTTTCACGGACAATTGTCCGTGAAGTGGGCTCTCCTCTCTAAAATAACTCCCGGACCAACACCTGGTTGTGGGAGAGGAGAGACTCAAGCAGCAAACTGGACGGCAACTGCCTGCAGCCAGGTCTAGTGGCATCTGAACATCTGAACGCAGTAGTCGTGTGAGAGTGTGAGTGCTGGGGTGCAGCGCGCGGGTCCGGCAAGAGCGACATCATGAAGGGTTGGCTGTGGATTGCCTGTTTGGTGCTCGTCCTGGTCGTTCTGCTGTCGGTCGATGATGGTGAAGCCAGGGGCAGTCGACGCCGCCGCTCGTACAGGGTATCAAGACGACGAGCAGCATTGAGCAGCAGACGTCGAAGCTATACTGCTAGTCGGCGACGTTATGTGGTATCATCCAGGAGGAGGAGTTATCTTCGTCGAAGATCGTCTCTAAGGAGACGATCATCACTTCGACGTAGATCATCTCTGAGAAGACGTAGCTACCTCCGCCGAAGATCATCTCTCAGGAGACGAGCAGTTCTGAGGAGACGAAGCTACCTCCGCCGAAGATCATCTCTCAGGAGACGAGCAGTTCTGAGGAGACGAAGTTACCTCCGCCGAAGATCATCTCTCAGGAGACGAGCAGTTCTGAGGAGACGAAGCTACCTCCGTCGAAGATCATCTCTCAGGAGACGAAGCTACCTCCGCCGAAGATCATCTCTGAGGAGACGGGCAGTTCTGAGACGTCGAAGCTACCTCCGCCGAAGATCATCTCTCAGGAGACGAGCAGTTCTGAGGAGACGAAGCTACCTCCGCCGAAGATCATCTCTCAGGAGACGAGCAGTTCTGAGGAGACGAAGCTACCTCCGCCGAAGATCATCTCTCAGGAGACGAGCAGTTCTGAGGAGACGAAGCTACCTCCGTCGAAGATCATCTCTGAGGAGACGAGCAGTTCTGAGGAGACGAAGCTACCTCCGCCGAAGGTCGTCTCTCAGGAGACGAGCAGTTCTCAGACGTCGAAGCTACCTCCGCCGAAGATCATCTCTCAGGAGACGAGCAGTTCTGAGGAGACGAAGCTACCTCCGCCGAAGATCATCTCTCAGACGTCGAAGCTACCTCCGCCGAAGATCATCTCTCAGGAGACGAGCAGTTCTGAGGAGACGAAGCTACCTCCGCCGAAGATCATCTCTCAGGAGACGAGCAGTTCTGAGGAGACGAAGCTACCTCCGCCGAAGATCATCTCTCAGGAGACGAGCAGTTCTGAGGAGACGAAGCTACCTCCGTCGAAGATCATCTCTGAGGAGACGAGCAGTTCTGAGGAGACGAAGCTACCTCCGCCGAAGATCATCTCTCAGACGTAGAAGCTACCTCCGCCGAAGATCATCTCTCAGGAGACGAGCAGTTCTGAGGAGACGAAGCTACCTCCGCCGAAGATCATCTCTCAGACGTCGAAGCTACCTCCGCCGAAGATCATCTCTCAGGAGAAGAGCAGTTCTGAGGAGACGAAGCTACCTCCGCCGAAGGTCCTCTCTCAGGAGACGAGCAGTTCTCAGACGTCGAAGCTACCTCCGCCGAAGATCATCTCTCAGACGTCGAAGCTACCTCCGCCGAAGATCATCTCTCAGGAGAAGAGCAGTTCTAAGGAGACGAAGCTACCTCCGCCGAAGGTCCTCTCTCAGGAGACGAGCAGTTCTGAGGAGACGAAGCTACCTCCGCCGAAGATCATCTCTCAGGAGACGAGCAGTTCTGAGGAGACGAAGCTACCTCCGCCGAAGATCATCTCTCAGGAGACGAGCAGTTCTGAGGAGACGAAGCTACCTCCGCCGAAGATCATCTCTCAGACGTCGAAGCTACCTCCGCCGAAGATCATCTCTCAGGAGACGAGCAGTTCTGAGGAGACGAAGCTACCTCCGCCGAAGGTCCTCCCTCAGGAGACGAGCAGCTCTGAGGAGACGAAGCTACCTCCGCCGAAGATCATCTCTCAGACGTCGAAGCTACCTCCGCCGAAGATCATCTCTCAGGAGACGAGCAGTTCTGAGGAGACGAAGCTACCTCCGCCGAAGATCATCTCTCAGACGTCGAAGCTACCTCCGCCGAAGGTCATCTCTCAGGAGACGAGCAGTTCTGAGGAGACGAAGCTACCTCCGCCGAAGATCATCTCTCAGACGTCGAAGCTACCTCCGCCGAAGATCATCTCTCAGGAGACGAGCAGTTCTGAGGAGACGAAGCTACCTCCGCCGAAGATCATCTCTCAGACGTCGAAGCTACCTCCGCCGAAGATCATCTCTCAGGAGACGAGCAGTTCTGAGGAGACGAAGCTACCTCCGCCGAAGATCATCTCTCAGACGTCGAAGCTACCTCCGCCGAAGATCATCTCTCAGGAGACGAGCAGTTCTGAGGAGACGAAGCTACCTCCGCCGAAGATCATCTCTCAGACGTCGAAGCTACCTCCGCCGAAGATCATCTCTCAGGAGACGAGCAGTTCTGAGGAGACGAAGCTACCTCCGCCGAAGATCATCTCTCAGACGTCGAAGCTACCTCCGCCGAAGATCATCTCTGAGGAGACGAAGCTACCTCCGCCGAAGGTCCTCTCTCAGGAGACGAGCAGTTCTGAGGAGACGAAGCTACCTCCGCCGAAGATCATCTCTCAGACGTCGAAGCTACCTCCGCCGAAGATCATCTCTCAGGAGACGAGCAGTTCTGAGGAGACGAAGCTACCTCCGCCGAAGGTCTTCTCTCAGGAGGCGAGCAGTTCCGAGGAGACGAAGCTACCTCCGCCGAAGATCATCTCTTAGACGTCGAAGCTACCTCCGCCGAAGATCATCTCTCAGGAGACGAGCAGTTCTGAGGAGACGAAGCTACCTCCGCCGAAGATCATCTCTCAGACGTCGAAGCTACCTCCGCCGAAGATCATCTCTCAGGAGACGAGCAGTTCTGAGGAGACGAAGCTACCTCCGCCGAAGATCATCTCTCAGACGTCGAAGCTACCTCCGCCGAAGATCATCTCTCAGGAGACGAGCAGTTCTGAGGAGACGAAGCTACCTCCGCCGAAGATCATCTCTCAGACGTCGAAGCTACCTCCGTCGAAGATCATCTCTCAGACGCCGAAGCTACCTCCGCCGAAGATCGTCTCTCAGGAGACGAGCAGTTCTGAGGAGACGGAGCTACCTCCGCCGAAGATCATCTCTCAGGAGACGAAGCTATCTCAGACGCAGATCGACGCTAAGAAGACGAAGCTATCTCCGCCGAAGGTCATCACTGCGGAGGAGGAGCTACCTCCGTCGACGATCATCACTGCGGAGAAGGAGCTACCTCCGACGACGATCATCCCTGAGAAGACGAAGCTACCTTCGTCGACGATCATCCCTGAGAAGACGAAGCTATCTTCGTCGAAGGTCATCACTGCGGAGGAGGAGCTACCTCCGTCGACGATCATCATTGCGGAGAAGGAGCTACCTTCGTCGACGATCAACCCTGCGGAGAAGGAGCTACCTCCGACGACGATCATCCCTGAGAAGACGAAGCTACCTTCGTCGACGATCATCCCTGAGAAGACGAAGCTATCTTCGTCGAAGGTCATCACTGCGGAGAAGGAGCTACCTTCGCCGACGATCGTCACTGCGGAGAAGGAGCTACCTTCGTCGCCGTGGCTATGTTAGACGCCGAACAAGTCCCAGCACTGGTAAGGTTCTGCTTTTGGGGATTATCTGTCTGCAGTAGTTTGACTCCTAGGTTCCTGGTTGCAAGTACGCCATTAAGCCAACAAAGCTGGGTATTAGGTTCCATTCTTAACTCAAGAACCACAGGCCCCCGAGCAGGGTACCCATGCACTCGTATATGGGGAATACCCTCCTGGACCAACAGATCAACGACAAGTGATAAGATACTCGGTCTGCGTACAAGCAAGCTTTGAGTCACTACGCAGTAAATCAGATATGTGACAGGAAGTGAAGTACTAAAGGCTACGAATGCATTTGTAAGGTATTGACCAAGATCAGGTCTGCGGGTATATTTCACATAATCGGTGATCTGGACCAGTCATGTGATCTGGACCAGTCATGTGATCTGGACCAGTCAAGGATCACAAGAACCAACCGATGCAGGGCAATCTAGCGGAATGATAATTTTAAACGAGCTTCATTTCCGGTCACTTATCCAATTCGCTGCATAGTGACTCAAAGCTGGCAAACGTTGGTGATTTAAGCAAGAGAAATAAGCTCCAAAGACGTACAACTCTGGACACCCTTGCTATGAGTCCTCCGACGGCAAAACTCATCTCACGTTGTGTAGCGTTCACAGTGTACGTAACGTCGCTCCGAACCTCTGTTAAAGGGGAAGTTAAGGCAAAAATTAAAATTTCACCAGTTGTAGTCTTCGGGGTGCTGAATCGAATGGTCGTAGTCCGAGGAAGCTGAGACGCTCCCTTCCTACTTGAATCCCAATCGAACTCGCGCACTTCCACCGAAACTGGGTGACTGCGCCCTACTAGATGGGGATTTGTATGCAAAATGTTACTAAAAGCGCCATTTCGTTCTTATAAAAGCACGGATGAACGCGATTGGCCCATATGTTGTAGTCTTTTGGACGCTGAGTCGACTGGTTTTGGTCCGAAAAGGCTGCGATGCAGCGTTCCTCCTTTATTCCCAATCGAACATGGTTGAACAAGCGGTCACGTGCTCCTGCGTACGCCAGTCACCCGGTCACCGTGCCTGCAGGGTACAACTTACTAGCCTGTTTGACCTTTTTTGGGTGCAGTCCTGTCACTCGAGTTGAACCTTGGTGTGAAAGTCGTCGCCTGCTGGCGTGGTACTCAGTAACCAGGTGATTTGGGCACCCAGGAGCACGTGACCGCTTGTTCAACCATGTTCGATTGGGAATAAAGGAGGAACGCTGCATCGCAGCCTTTTCGGACCAAAACCAGTCGACTCAGCGTCCAAAAGAGTACAACATATGGGCCAATCGCGGTCATCCGTGCTTTTATAAGAACGAAATGGCGCTTTTAGTGACATTTTGCATACAAATCCCCACCTAGTAGGGCGCAGTCACCCAGTTTCGGTGGAAGTGCGCGAGTTCGATTGGGATTCAAGTAGGAAGGGAGCGTCTCAGCTTTCTCGGACCAAGACCATTCGACTCAGCACCCCGAAGACTACAACTGGTGAAATTTTAATTTTTGCCTTAACTTCCCCTTTAAGCAAGCAGTGGAGTAGTAAAAAGAGCACCCTCCCGACAGAAACTCACTTGGCTTATGCGAGTCATCAACATGATCATGGTAGATATCCAGACCACACAAGCTGGTCTACTCTGTACATGTACGTAGTACGGGGCATACTTGGAGCGGGTGATGTAAGATTTCGCCATCCGAGACCCCCCCCCCCCCCCCCCCCCCCCTATGCAGAGTTGCACACTCCTCAGTGGGACCTACGACGATTTGGTGTAATTTAGGGGGCGTTCGTTTTTGATCTACAGGTTTGGGTAGACACTACTTCTTTCGGTAGACGTGTTCGTTTTTTGAAAAAATTCTACTCAAAAGGGTAGATTCTACTTTCCTCTACCGGCTCTACCAGGAAAAAGTTGGTCGAATCCGGTAGAAGTTGGTAGAGCTACGGGATTTCCAGCAAGATCAAGGATTTGTACACAACTCCATCCAAAAAAGGAACATTTCACGTACACATCGTGTAAACTACTAAATCCGGTAGAACAGCGTTCGTAAACTTGCCTCTACCATCTACCTCTATCAGTAGAGTGACTCTACTCTACTCTACCAGGTAGCTAAAAACGAACGCAGCCTTACTCTTGATATACGAGTCATAAGACAGGGGCGACATAACACAATACTGCGGTGAGAACTCCGGCTAGTGCGGCCGGTGTGGCGACCAACCAACTTTCTTACAAAACATAACCTTGGAAATATTCTTCTGATGCTGGACATGAGGCAAGGTTCGACAGATATTGTTTGTCTTTGATGTGCTGTTCCAGGAGGGTATTCCCCGTGGAGTGCATGGACAGCCTGCTCGGTGACCTGCGGCTCTGGAGTACAGTATCGCACTCGATGCTGTGTTGGCTCAACAACGTACTGCGCCACTCGGCCTGACATCACCGTCCGGCAGGCCTGCACACTCACACCGTGTCAAGGAAGTGAGTCTTATTGTGTACAGCATTTCAATGACGCACATCAATCAAGAACATACACACCGTGATACAATTTTACTGAACTACAGATGCTAAAATAGCATGTCCATGCAACCGCCCAGGAATCATCTATGGCATGTACCACTACACACATTTTGATTTACTGGTACTTCTGTGCATCTAATTACCCTTGCAACCAGGCCACACATCGGCACGTAAGTAGATCAATTGACATGCAGACATGCAACACAATGTAGGACTGGAACTGAATTCCTGCCTAGGCTACCCTCCCCTCTCATAATCCCCGTCCCCTCCCCTCTGCCCCAATGGTTCCTGGACAGCAGTGACACAGCCGGTACTATGATGATTATGGTGACATGGTATGGTAGAGGGCGGCACATAGTGTGTAATTACGCCATTCTGGCTTCTTGTGGTATCTTGTTGAATAATACAAACGCCTAGGCCAATGGATACAAACTGTGTACTTTCTTCTGTGTTCTTTTCTTGACAGCAACACTGAATCCGGTCACTAACCGTCCGACCACCACCCGGCCACTGAATCCAATCACCACAGTCAGCCAACCAAGCACTACAGCTCTATGTGCAGCTGGCGACTCGCAGCAGCGGCAGTGCGGCGTGCAGTGCGTCTGTATCAACGGTGCCTGGTCATGCTGCAGAGTGCGCCGTGAGATCACCACCATGAACCCCATCGACCGCGAGACCTTCATCCACGTCTTCCATACCATGACCATGAGTGAACCGTATCGCACACGCTATCGCCAACTTCTGACTCGTCATCGGTCGCTCTTCGATGGCAGGATTCACGAGCAGCGCGAGTTCTTGCCATGGCATCGCTGGTACTTACTCCAAGTAGAGAACATCCTACAGCAGATCAACTGCTCAGTGACTCTGCCGTACTTTGACTGGTCGGCACATTCACACAGTCCCTGGACCGCGCCAGTCTGGCTTGCCACACAGTTCGGAGGCAATGGAAACTGCAACCTGGGCGGAGGCAGCCGCTGCTGTATCCAGACGGGTAGGTTCTCAAGCGGCCAGGGATGGCGCAAGTCGAACGGAGAATGCCTGAAGCGTCAATTCGACGGAACCCTTCCCGACATGCCCGCCATCATGCTAGTGCTGAGCAACTCCGCTGCTCAGTTCGGTCGCTTTGAGACCGCTGTGCGTGGCCCGTTGCACGATGGACCACATTGTGCCTTCGGTGGAGATATGTGCACTGAGTACGCAGCAGAAGATCCCATGTTCAATCTGCATCACGCTTTCATCGACGCTATCTGGTACAGATGGCAAGCACGCAGCAGCGCGCACTTGAGAGCATACTTTGCCACGCGCACAACACCACTGACAGGTGTGCCTGGTGCTACCGTGCGTGACTACCACAACAGCCATAGCCTGCCCGGAGGCATTGGCGTGTGCTACATCGACCCAGCGCAAGGTGTAATTACCGTCAGCTCAGTGCAGGCTGCACGAGGGTTACCAGCAAGCAGAGTGGTGGCGGCCGCTTCCAAGGTACTGGCCCGTCTACCGGCCAAGACTATTGCCGCAATTCCACGCTCCAAGTTCACGCCGCTATCAGCTCGTGGCAAGGCGCTGCGCTTGTTCCACGTCACCCCGGCAGATCGTGCTAGGATGACTGCATACGACCGCATGCTGCAGCCATCACGCACCGTACAGCAGTGCGGCGGCACCCTGCCGACAGCGTTGGATCGACATCTTGGATTCCCGGCTGACTATGTGGCAGCCGATCGCAAGTACACCTGCAAGCGACGCAAGCCGTGAGCCAGCCATGTCTAACTGCAAAGCTGCTGCATCATGAGTAAATGTCGGTTCTCTCGGCGCTGTACAACAATGGTTCATGGCACTGGTTTTTCTTCTTTTTGGAACTGTCATTTCAATACGATAGTCGCTGGCAAATTGCATTTTCATTTGTTCATATTAGTTTCCGTCACAACTGCACTAGAAGTAGTAACACGTGTATTGACTGTACTAGAGTGTATAGACTATTTAGGCTGCAACGCGTGTTCTCTAGAGCTACTGTCAAAATGCATACTGCTGCTTTGTCGAGTGCAGCCTTCGCGGTGACCTTACTTTGCATTCATGGAAGAGCACATTTCGCTGTTCCCGGATCCCCTGCTTACAAATGGATTGTATTTTCTTCTTTTCGCTACTATTGTAGCTTGTAGACGCTTACTACTTATTTTCTGGACACACGATTTAACCCGAGCATGCTTTATTGCGCCCTTTTAGCGCCAATTCATGATGATCATTCACCACACCAATGATCTACATTTTTTACTCTAATTTCAGAAATTTTTGGTGCTCAATATTTTCGGTATGAGTGCAAAAGGCCAGGTTAGGTGAACAGAAAATGTACGTACTGAGAAGCAGTTCCCTATTGGATTATGTGTGTTAGTGTTTGTTCGGTTTGTTGACAAGTATGGAACAGATGCACCGAAAGTACCGAAAATAAAAGTCCACCGAAATTTTGTGAAATTACAGTATTTTCAGAGTGAACACGGCTTCAGAGTCTTCGCTCAAGTCCCTTCTCCTCATACTACAGAGAACATGTGCATGATTCGGACGGGAACGTGTGCATGTAAGTTATGTTTGCTGATGCATTGATGCCATTGGGTTTTGATTATTTTGGCACTTGTCGAAATTCCAGCCGCCATTAAATTTACATGCACACGCGCCTGCTGGTGACCTGGTGCTGTTATCATGGCTAGCCTATAGAGTGGTACCAGCTCACGTCCGCTCCAAGATAAACTGAGTACGGATTGACTCCACAACGTGCAATGTGTGAAAAAAGGTATGTATCGTACGACCTACAGACAGGACACTGCCTCCAAATAATGATCATGATAGGGAGGTGGTGGTGGTGGTGGTGGTGGTGGTGGTGGT